TTGCTACCCGTCTAAAATTTGTAATGATCCCGCATAGGAGGCTATGGACATTTTCTAGGACAATTACATTTGATATCAATCTCGAAATTCCAAAAATGTTATCAGCATTGTAATGATTAGCTATGATTCTATGATTGTTAATTACGTAATTTCTGTTTTGAGTCAAGTTTTTAACCCTTTAACTCCCAAGATCTCATTACTGTCTGCCATATAAATCTTGTTACGTTAGTATGGAACATTTGGTATTGAATAAATCAATTATCCCCAAATTGATATTTTTCTTTATTCTTGTCACGTATCTGGTTGGTATTGTAATGATATTATTGTAAGGAGAAATTCTGTCTTGGTCACTCATAGGAGTTTAAGGGCTAACCCTTTACACATGCATACAGCTATTTCAATTTACGTTGTCGGATCAAAGCCTCAAGCCTACAAGACAAGACCGAAGGGGAATATGGGATCTTAATCTGTTCTTGTTGCTCTTTGTTAAGACGCGCAAGGCAATACTAATTGTATTTTCAGCCTCCATGTCCATCTCGCGCCGACAACCCCGAAAGCCTAAAATTAATTATAATCTACCCATACCGCCTTTCGGTCTTATCCCGTACCCTTGAAGCTTTGATCCGACAACGTAAATTGAAATAGCTGTATTCTTCATACTGTTGTCTATACGTTCCTAATGTGCTGGCAAGGAGAATTTGTTTGACAATCAAGAGGTTCTTCAGTTGATTATCATTTCCTTTATTCTCATGACCTTAATGTTTTATTTGGGGATGATATTGAAAGTAGAAATTAGATGCCAGTCCCTATCAGGGAGTAAAGGGTCAAAGGACAATGAAATAAGATACATTCCTAGTTGTTCACGGACGCCAAATCGAAGCTAAGAAACTTGCTTGAAATAAGACTGTACAATATCACAAATCTTAACCGAAGAAAAGAGGTATGATTTCGCTTATGTAACTTCTATTTGTATGCTTTCGGATTAAGTTTGTTGTCGCAGTTATCGTGCGTGATTTAATTCAATTCTAAAATAGTACTTCCGCGTAAGCTTGTACACGAATGATCGCACCGCAGTAGCATATGTTACGTGTAGTTTTTCTAATCGTTCATATTGGTAGTTTATGTCGTAAATTACCTTTCAGTTCTTACGTTTTCAAGTACCTCATTCAAGCATATCCCCAATAACAAAGATCTCGATTTAATACAAAAGATGAGTGCTTGAAATCAGTAGGTCTCCACCTCCTAACAAGAGCAATGTTGAGTTCTCCAAAATAACAAAATGCACACGTACGTAGTTGACAATCGATACTCGTCACAATCTGTTGCCATACGTGAAACCACAGCACTTCTGAACCGAACGTTTCTGTACTGGAAAAAAAAGAAGAAAACCGTTGTTGTACGAAACCGAAAAAATTAGCTCAAAATGTGCGTTACCTTGCTAAGATATCTCGTAGTCAGGAACTAACGTCCGTTGAGTGAGGAAGGCGGTAACAAACAAACAAACAACAATTTCGCTGGACCCGACCAAAAATTGACCAATCTAAGGCGGTAACACCGTGTCGTGAATAATAACCTTTCTTTGTAAGCAAAAGGCCCATTACGTCCATTTTATTTCTAGAAAACTCTAGAGAGGTAAAAAACATGCTTCAGGTTAAAGTAAAATGAAAGGTCGTCGGATCAAGTGCCTCAATAACTGTTTACTATGGAACCACATTTACTGTTCTACGCGGGTAGAGCGAGCAAGGTGACTCTTTAAGCGGGGGTGGGGTAAGGTATTGCCTTAAACTCAAGTAAGACTCGATAAGCCGATAAATCTGACCGAATTCTCCATATTCTATTGAGTAAATCTGGAGGAAACGGCTACAAAGATTGAAAATAATGATATTATTGTACAATTTTAATCAGGTATTTGGCTATAGCTTAACAAAATTAGTGCTTGAAAAATCAAGGCTCCTTGGGGTTACCTCAAGATGGTATCTCTTGTTATTCAATTTAAAAAAAAAATGTTGAGTAGTGAGAACTTTCTTAACTCCTTTGCCATGCCATGTCCTTCCACTGGCTCGTGGTGTACTACAATTAAACCATATGCACAATAACAATAGACAAGATAATGTTTCAAGTTTTATTTGATATGCTTATAAATTGGCGATCAAACAGTACAAAGCAATGGAGGATAATGATGACCAAATTGAATTTAATGTGATGGAAGAAATGAGAAAGTAATAAGATTTAATGCATCTATCAATTTGAAGCTTCAACATCCCTCCTTCCCTGGTGAAACCCTGGGGCATGTGAACTTTGATAATTGGTTTGTTGAAATTCCGCCCCCTCTCCCCCCCCCAGCCAAAATTGTGTTCCTTTCATTTTCATACATTATCCAGCTTATCAAACTTATCAACCAGAAGTTTTAATCTTGATTGGACACCATATTCTTGTAGCCAGTTTAAAGGGGATGTATAGCAGCCAGAGGGCAGAATTAAAATATAATTAAAAATCAGATCTTGAGGGTTTAAGGGTTAAGCTAGCGAGAGCTCTCACCGATGCCAAATCCTGAAAATGCATTACTACTCATTTAAACAGGTAGCTTTCTATTACCAGTCCACTGCTACTAACAGAAAGTGCACTTTGATGAACCAACGAAATATATAATGGACTCCTGATATGGTTAGGTCTTATGAGCCTGAAGGGGTAAAGTGTCATTGTTTCATAAAAAAAACCAAGGTAAACCTAGAGTGAGATTTCGGCACCTATCGTCACTACCGTGGCGAGATCTAAGTCTTTCTGGCTAGTACTGTAACTGAAGTGTTTGTGTTGTTTTGTACCTGGTCCCACAGTTACGATAAGTTTTAAACATTTTGTTAAAACTTGTTTACTTAAGAGTAAATAATTATTCAATATGTAAGAATTCGTTCGTATTTCGCTTTTAAAAACAAGTCTAGTTCTTCTTTGACTGTAGCTTTTAACTCGAAGCAGTTTATGCCATTTTTGTCCTAAATTTCAGCTTTTTATCCCGTAACAGTTTTCGGATGGCGGGCAATCTCTAAGTAAACCCGAGAATTGGGAAGAGAATCATTTATCGAACTACGAGATTCGTTATTAGCCTAACGATTTATGATTCATTAACAATATTTTAAAAAAAAAAAAAATATTCAGGATTAAGTTTTTGAATTCTTTTCTTAATTCATAATCAGTCATGACCCCCAAGTTTTAAACACCAATGATGACACATGATTCCGCGTTCAGCCCCCACCGAGAAACTTGAAATATGATCTGCAAGTTTTTATTGCCAAGGAAGTCAGCAATTTTTGTCTCTTCAAATCTTTATTTCTGAGTAAAACTTAAAAGCTTTTACAGCGCTTCTTCTTCGACCGTTATCATTTCCATAGCTGCGTTCTACCCGAGCATTCGCAAAATTCAGGAAGAGCAGTGAAAGAGAAATACTTTTATCCTGACTTCGTTCATTTATTTAATCATTTATTCATTTATTCTTTTTTCCCCAGCCTGTAACTTCGAACAGAGAGAAAGAAACTGCAACTAAACAGCTCCTGATCTAATTGTTGATTTGTAATACCAGCACTCTGTTTTAGTAGAAGGTAAGGAGTGATTGCTTTTTTCTTCACGCAACAGAATAAGTAGCTCGTTGATATGGCGGAAGTTTGGCGAGCGAGTGTGAGAGCGAGTGCAGGGAAAGACTGGGGAGACAATTAAAATTGTCCTAGGAGGTGAACGTTGGTCAAAACATAGGACAGATAGGGCAATATAAGTTCTCACCTTTCCCCGGTCCCTCACCTCACCGCCCATTTTAAATCAAACATGGTCGGTCTAATAAACGATCGCGAGCTTGTAACGTTAACTCGCCCCAACAAGACGCCTACACTGTAGGCTAATATAAAGGCGATTTACTTTCAATTTTTGACGCCTCTTTTCACTCAGGATTTTAAATGAGTACCAGCAAACGGTTACAGAAACTTGCTGGGGTTTAGGTGTGAATCGAAAAAATTGAATACCATTGACGCGAGAAAGGAAGCTTACACATTCAGAAGCAGCGATCTTTGCGCTCAAATGTGGTGTTTGAAAGTGGGTAAAAATTGTGTGTAAATAGAATAAGAGAGATAATAGATTTTGAGAACGGTAAAGATGCAGAGAAAGTGATATCTTTTGTCTTGTCACGAGCGTGGGACAAATAATAAGTTCTGATTCTCCAGGCGGAGTCGAATCTCAAACTTTCGGATTTCATCGGTGCGCGAAATCCGACGGTTTCGCAAATGTTTTTCTCTTAGCTAGAATTGACCAAGATCCACATTTGTTGTACGAACTCTCTGACATCCCTTGTCAACAGCAATGATATCATATAGCAGGACTGATAGGAGCTTTTCATCTCAACAAATTTAATTTCGAGGTCAACATGCAGAGCCACGACAATGAACGAAAGAAACAACGTGTAACACCATGTGTTCTCTTCGGGCTCCTTTGTATTTTTTTGGGAGGCATTAGCCTCATAGGGTATTTCCTGACTCCTGATGACTCTCATGGTTATAATCTACATCCTGAATATCAGTTTAGAGACAAGCCGGATGCCCTACCATTTGGCATAGTTTTTATGTTGTTTGGATTTTTACTTCTTGTTTGTGTCACTTGTTGTCAGAAAAATGGTGCTGATTGTTAAACAAAACCGACCCTAACCTCATTCTACATATATATGTATTGCAAAAGTAGTCTGTGTATTTCGTTGACATTATTGCAATTACATCGTTAAGAAATCGTTCGAAAAATATTTGTAACCTATTAAGTGAAGTTACCCCTAAAGTCATTCTATCAGGTGGCCAAGACTAGCTGATCACAACTGAGTCAGGTTAACGCAAAAGTTAATAACTAAAATACGAAGTTTTAGCAGGACTTTGTTTTGGTAGAGATAACTTCAGTTCTGTTTCTGCTAGACCCCAAATGGTCCAAATAAAACATAAACATTCCAAGTATCTCTTCGGAGAATCTGAAATAAGGCTAAAGATAATTACAGAGCAAACAGCTACAAATCAACCATCTGGAGAGACATTAAAACCGCATTGCTGACTCACAGCGACACCATCGGTGCTCCTCCTAGATGCGGTTCAAAGGAAAAAAGGGCCCCCTACCATTGTTTTCTTTCTTACTCTGGGGAGTCCCCAGGCAAGCCTCGATCTCGTATAGTAGACCCAGTTTCCTTGGCTCCCGCACGGCACGCTTTCAAGCATATTGAACGTGTGCTTTCATAAGGGTTGACAGAACGGGAGTTAGTAATTGGAGTAACTTGCACGGCGTATGTTAATTCAAAGATTTGTGTTTTGTATGATAATGATGATATAGACCCGGGTGCTTTATTCGAACAACTTTTAACTCAGCATTGATAACACGGTCGAGTAAGTCCCAGTCCTCTCCGCCCCATTTGTATTTGTAGTCCTCGGTGTTCATTCCTATAGAGAATACATATGCCTACATAAGATTTAGGAGGTTTCCGTTTACTATTGGAAAAAAAATTTCCGTTAAGTACAGATATTCACAATTTTAAATGTAACCTTTTAGAGATTACTGACTTTCAATTTTTTTTAGAGCTAAGTTTAAGGTAGTTGTATTTTTTGCTATGCAACTGAATGAAAATCGAGTAGTTAAATTGTGCATATTGCATGTCAGTTCTAGGAACTGATGAAATTATAATCAGTATTTTTTAAAGAAGCGTCAACTGAAAACTGATGTTTTTTTTTACCTTTGAACCTCACCCAGTCTGATTTATAAATGCTCATTAAGCCAAATCCTTCCATTTCCCAATAACCTTTATGATCTACATACGTACTGCCACAATATAACCGGCCTACAATGGGAGCGTAAACAAGATGTCCTTCTACAGTGTTCTGCAAGACAAATAATTATTATGAAAGCTAGAAATGAGGACCGTAGAGACAAATTATGATTAAATCAATGTAAATAAAAAAAGATTGGTGAAGTGTGCTTACATCAGATAGACTAGAGCAGTCCCTCCCTTTCGGCGACGTCCGCCGCGCGAGTTAAAACATCAGCGCACAATACGATAGCGCGCCACGTGGAACCTTGGAGTGAGGCTCACGAACTCCTAGGGTTCTCTCGGGCGCTCTAACTAATTTTTTTTTTACTTATTTTTTTTACTCGCACGACGGACTTCGCTGAAAAGCAGGGACTGCTTGTAGTCAAGCATCAAATGGCACACCAATCTAAAGGCAAGCGTCCCGTATAAAGGTTTACTAGTGTCAGTTCATAACACTACAATCGATATCCGCACGACACTATAAAGCTCGCGAGATTGATCTATAACATAAATACTAAATAAATATATAGATTAACGAGTAAATAATCATTACTCAAATCAAAGATAGAAACTCACTTTACGAACGCTGTCCAATATGTCTTGCGGAACGTCGATATGGAGATCAAACAGAAACAAAATGTCATGTATACTTGGAATATACTCAACAGCTTTGTTCAAAGCCAGCGTCTTGTAAAATTTCCCTTTTAATGGAATAATCGTGTGTTTGTTTTGAAGAAGAATGGTATTAAATGCCTTTGTCATGTCAATATCCTCGCTTTCAAAGTCAACAACAATGACATGAAAGTTCGTATCGCCCGTTAAAGAGCTGGCTATTGTGATTTCGTTAATAAAATGATACACCCATCTTCCTTGTTCCTTGACAGGGAGAATAAAGTACACCTTAGCTTTATTGTTCCAGCTAATCCCTAGAGGAAAACACAAGCTGTGGTTGGCATCCTTACCAAACACATGCTCTGATAAACGAAATGATTGATTGACGTCTTGTAAACCGAGCTCAAGATCTACAGAATAAAGATCGCCATGAACTGGATCTGAGATGTTTAAAACCTTGTGAATTCTCTTCAGAAAATATTTCCTGGAAGTAGATCAAAGAATGATATCAGTTTGATAGTGTAATGGACGTCATTGGATGTAATGTGTATCTCTAAAACAACCTTGGTTTCCAAGAATTTTTTTTCCTCTCCCAAGATGGAGGGAGTAACTTGGGAAATCGAAATTAAGCCAGTTAATGAATGACATACACACACCTCTTTGATACATGTGATTGGCTCTGGCCTTAAAGCATTAGTTCCAAACTCAGCCCGAATGGTTACCCAGCAAAATATATTACTTTGCTGACATTTCAGCATAGCGTATCATAATAATGGTCTACAAACATGATTAATAGCAGAAGAATGACGATAATTGCATTCCACTAAGCATGAGTTTTGAAAGACGCTAGTCACGGTTTGTGGGTCTTTGTGAGTGCTGTTCGTCATTTGCAATCCGTGCGAATCGTGGCCCATTTTTATACCGTTTTTCTTCCTAATAGACTTTAATCGTTACGTAGCGCATCCGCATTAGTTCACGAATGTTTTGGCATTTGCCATATTGTTGATAGTTTAATTTTTAGGTCAACTTACTTTGAGGTTTTGTGGTTTAGCGACGTAATTATCTCATCCGTGACTGCATGAATTGTTTCCCTGTCAGCAATTTTGTTAGGCCAGTTCCGCAAATTTTTATCAGTCAGTGCGCTGCTATCATCAGTAGGGTAGACGCTGGATAACTGCACCACTTTGCGGCCTTGATAACGATACACTTTTCCTCCGTTTGACAAAGAGCCGGACTGGAAATCACACAAGGGAAGATAACTATCTTTTGGGAGCAACGGAAGTGATGGAAATTGTAAGCGTTTTTGATCTGTTGATTTAGATTTCAGCTCAAGATCTTGACGATAGCTCTCCGAAAGCAAACTATGCAAAACATCTTTTGCTTTGGTAATCATAACATCGTTTGCATGGGACGATAAGTACTCTGAACTGATAAGGTAGAAATCGGTATCATTGCGACGCTTCCAATAAACTTGTACAAAGCCAAGAGCCGCTCCTTGCTTATGCACAACTTCTATGTAGTATTTTCTGTCTCCAGAGAGCATTAGATGTTCTGAGATTTGTCCGGGATATTTATGAAGTTCATCCTTTTTCGTCCACGCACTTACTCCTACTTTAAAAACACGCGCAATTAACTGTTTCTCCTGCAGATCATCGTTAGGACTGAGCCATAACTCTGACTCGTCATCAGAGGCTATGGCGAAGTTGTACTCGTCGCTGTGAGGAGGATGGAGGAAGCCAAAAATCCGTTGGCCATAATCGATGGTATTGTCGGTAATTTGAAACCTAAGCATATTGAGCTTCGTGACCATTTCGTCAGGATAATGCGGAAAAAGCAAATATTGACGCAGATTTTGGATGCTTGAGCCACAAACCTCTCGCCATATGTGAATATTTAGAGTACCCACAGCGGCGATGACACGTGGTGTGCCGTTTGTAGTGGTCACTGCATCATTTTTTACCGCAACATGAACAGCGTCATACGTTTGTGAATGGTACAACGTACTGAAGATATAAAAGCAGAATGAACAGAGCATTAAAGTGGAGAGTATAACCTTCAATCGTTTTCGAAATCGAAAGCAGAAATTAACTTTTACGAAGACAATGAAGCGGAAGAATCGACTGGTCGTCATGCTTTCTCGCTCAGTTTTATGCTGACCGGGAAGCAAATATAAACCAGCAAACGATCGCAAAAGCGGGTAATGTTGGCGTTAAATGCTCGTGGAAGAATTCGTCACAAAGTTCCTAAAGCTCCGATATGCAAGTATTGTCAGTTCTACTCGAGTATCTAAATACCACGGGTCAGCTGTCGGCAATTTTTGGTCGCGCTATGTCGCCAAAGATGGCGGTCTGGCTGTTGTCATAACCGATAGCCCTAAATATAGAACGGGAAAAATTTGCAAGACATACAGTTGTCCTCATCGTATGACTGCAGCTGGTTGTTTTGTAAACAAATAGTCTAGTCACCGATTACCCTTTTATTAAAATTTTGATCGATATTGATAAAGAGCTCGCGTTGCTGTCTGGGAAAGCGCGGAATGAATTGAAAGTAGTATGCTGCAAAAATACGAAGAACGAGTTTTATTTTGATACTAAATTCAACGGCAAAAGTTAAATGTGTGAATTTTCCTTCGTCTTCGCTTTCGCCCCATTATGGTGCCGTGAGGAACTGATCTGGAAATGGCTAACTTCAGCTTCAAAAGGCTTTTTCGTTCTTCTGAACATAGCATCAAGTGTTGCGAAAATGGAAACTACAAACCTTCGGTAAGAAACGTATGTTTTTCGTTTTGGGGATTTCGCTTTACTTTTTCAGAAATATTGCTTTTTTTATGAGTGGTTTGTGTCAGACTCTGGCACGAAGAGACCGGTACTCAAATGATTAAAGGGCATGTAAACCCAAAAATACATGTTTTTCTTATACTATGTAAAAAGTGGCGTAGAAAACGAATTTGAAATTAGTTTTGTCTAATTCGACCTATTTTAGGAGAAAATCGGCATTTTCAACTGAAATTCCATTTCCGGTAAAAACAATAGCGAGAAGTCGTGACGTAAGCGGTGGAACCAAAATATTGCGCAACACATATTCCCCAGTAGAACTGGTGTGGGAGTTCGTGTAAGTAGCGGTAGTTCGGAAGATGTTTTTTCAGAAGATAGCGACTCGAATGCCTTAAGCTTAGTACATGACAGCGCTGGGGATAATCCAGAATCTTCAGGAGAGTCTGGGCCACGTCCTTAACAATATGAGCCGCGTAGGGTTCACCGAAGCGATCCGCACGAAGACAGTACAGAACATGTCGACAGCGATACGACCGTCTCGGAAACTCAGACTGGTATTTAATTTACTTTGTGATTTATTTTTATTTAACATGAAAATGCAATAAAGCGAGGGTACAATCTAAAGGAATGCAACAGAATTTTTTTTAACTTGAGCTTCTGAAAGTGTTTTATATAAAATTATCAAAGGTGCGAGTGTGGCACTTGTCAACCAATGCCGACAACTCATGAAAGTGTTTGTTGTACGGAAATCGGGCAATTGTGGCAAAATGACTTGAAACCCAGATAAGTTGTATCACTGAGCATCCAGGTTTTCAGTCAATTTGCCTCGATTTCTGGGTGCTGGAGACGGCCAAGTACGCGTACAGGCAGCAGCAAAGCACAGATAATCACACCGGAAACGACTAAGCTAAATATTTTCTGTTTATCTGTTTTGTTACATTCTGAGATCGATTTACTTGAGTTGTTTCTGCCATTGATTTAATAATACAGTACTAGAGCTAGTTGTTTTTCGCTTCTTTCCGGCAGGAAATTTCGCTAAATTGCCTACAGATAGCTTGTTCGTTGGTGTTGGGGATATCTCGGCAAACACTTTAGGGTCGCTGTGCTATCTTGTGCGGTAAACAATATCCTTCATCTCAGAAGCATTTCCATCGATAAACAAGTTGTATTATGTACATTTCCTTGTGTGGCCTTCATAATTATCCAACCCTGTTTGTGTTTGCTTCGATTTGAAATATTGAAAAGATAGTTTTGCAAGCTGAAATCAGGATCTTTTAAGTTGTACTCAAAATGATGAATGTTGTCCTACTGACCTTTGAATGTATTTTCACTGCTGTGAAAACCGTGACACAAATTCTTCTGCTGTTTCTCTGCAGGGTTTCTCAAAGGAAGCACCAAGTGGGGCTGGCTTGGATTTTCTTATAGAACATAAGGGTTGATTATGGGATCCTGTATAGAATTCTTTGTATCGAACCGACAAAATTCCAGATCACGTTATTACACACTGATATCAACGAATTCTCTTTCTTTGATACGTGTTTCGAATTCAGGCAAAGGTTCAGACATGTCAGTGTCTTTTACGGGGTCAGCGCTGGCTCCCGAACAACTGGCTTCCCCATAATATTTCATTAGATGAGAAAAAAGATGTTTTTAGAGAACCAATAAAGCTATTGTTGTTTAATTAACGAAACGTTTTCATGTAAATCGATTTTGTACTTTCTCTGTTGACCTCTAACTTTTGAAGAGCTCAACTTCTTTCTCAGTTCGGTCGGCCACTTCCGAATTCTCGTCGTCTGCCGACTGTATGGGTCGTTTTTATACTTCCAAATAATTTGCTTCTGGTGAGGCCTGAATCGTCGGTACAGCACCAGGAAGAAAAATGACTGCTACAAACAACAGAACGTTCGAACGGCTCGACGAAATTGGCTATTTTCACTTGAACAAATTTCACAAATTGTCGCTTCAAATTTGCGTCATTTGGAAATATTTGCATTGTATGCCCAGTTTTGTTTGAATCAGTACAAAACTGGACGACACAACGCTTCACCATTACGAAAAAAATTGAGTGTATTGAAGCAAACTGTAAGTAAAAAAATCATGACGAGACCAGCAAACAACGGCTGTAGAAAAGACTCCTTCATGCCTCACGCGATTATAAAACGAGACTTTGGAGGGTCCACCCGTGACGTCACAGGAAAGATGGCGCCATTCAAGATGGCGAATGTTTCGAATTTGGAAGAGCTTTTACAAAGTGAAAATGGACTTTTGAGAATAAACGAATGGCACCTTTGGTGTACTTGATATATTTACTAAACATCTATGTGAAAAGAAAATGAACGTTTTTTGGGTTTACATGTCCTTTAAGACTTACTTTCTGAACCTTCAACACTAGTGATATGCCTCTCAAGCGAAAGCAATATAACCGCTTTGCTGTCGGGCAATACACGAAGGCAAAGAAAAACTTGCAGGAGGAGTTCGCTCGAGAGAAAGCCAGCCTTTCTCAGCTTTCAAAAGAGGTGAAAACACTTCAGCGAAAAGTTTAGGGACTGGATGATGAGGTAAACAAATTAAGAGTGACTGCCTTCTGTTTGTATAGGTAACCACATGATTTCGAGTGCAATTTGGAATAAATAAGCACGAGTAAATTTTTTTAAAGACTAACAAAATTGTACGAGCCCGTAGGGCGAGTGCAATTTGTGGTCTTTGAAAAAATTAACAAGTGCTTGTTTATTCCAAATTGCACGAGAAAAATCATGTGATTACGTGTTAATAATATACATGGATAAATACGAGATGGCTTATCATAATTAAACATAAGCAAAGCGCGCGCATCAAGTGCAAAAAATAACTTATTCAAACCGTGCGTTTGGTCAAAACAACCGCGTACGATCAAAACAATAATATGCAATGATATCTTCACATATTTTAAGGTGCAAAAAAGTTCAAAGTCCGGCTAAACAGTTCAAGGAATTGTTCAGTTTGTGTCCGAATCACTTTCGATGAAATGGAATCGTCGTTTCCGAGGTTTAACCATGTTTGTTTTTAATTTCGGCGTTGGATCGCTCGAGCAAAGTGTTAAGCTGGGTCGGCTCGTAATTTTCGATTTCCTTGGCAATTCCCTTCTCTAAACACCACTTTTTCCAAACCGACAACCAAAAAGCAGTGCTTTTTACAGTGTTTTCGTTGTTTAAGCTGTTTTTCAGCTGTGATGGCGAAAGAAAACCTACTTAAGTGCCGCTCTCGCTAGGAGCGGTTCTCTCGACTTCCCGTCGGTAAAAAGTTTTCTTTTATTTTTTGCCCATGAAAAGGGTTTAGGACACATGTTTCAAAAATAGTTTAGTTGTTATCCAATTCTCTTTTTTTGCGTCGCCACAAGTCGAAAATGATTTTTGGCCAGACCACCCCTGTGGATAGCGATCGAAAGTGTAAATTTCAAAGATTTTGTCCAGCGCGCAGCGACTGCAATAATGTAGCGCACGGAATTCTATCTTTCTACAAATTACAAGATGTATTCAGTTAGTTCACAGACAAAATATGAAAACTTCAGCTGAAATATTTTTCATACCAGCGTGATCAGAGGAGACCCTTCTCTTCGACCTTAATTTGCATATCAAAAATTCACTACTTTGTACGAAAGAATTCTCAAAATGCAGGCGTTGATCGGACTGAAAAAGCATATCAGTGCGTAGTTTATACACCAATGAGGTCACGGATTGCCTCAAACCCGCGGGTATATCTCTAGCTTCCATCCACCAACATCTTAAAAACAACGCAAATCCATGTGTTTGCTTAATCGCGCTCGTGTCAAAGATCATTTGCATGATTCTGAAAATTGACCAAGATCTCCTTTTGACCGTTCAAACTTCGTTCGTTTATCTTCTACGTTGCGGATTTTTTTGGTTTTCATAGCAACTGAATGGAGAATAGATGCCGAGTTGTCCTAAAACGTTGCCTAAATGTGATCGGCCGTAACGCTTGCGCGCTTGCGTGACTTACAAATTAGACAAAGGTGATCGGAAGGCGTCTTCTCGATAATTTACGTTGAAATATCAGGTCATGAACTACGCACAGTGTGAAGAAGATCAAAATTAAAGAATAAAATTTGGCACTCTGGTCATAACAGACATCGCGTCGCTTAAAACGACACAAAAACAAGTTAAAATGGGTTACAGTGTTTCCATTCACACTGAACACTCTGAAACAATTCTTGCAGTTTCTCCCGAGATTTAGTACACGGAACCCGATGAACTAGCCCTCCTTTCTGCAAATTTGTTTCCGTTATTAATGATGTTACGCTCTTTTGAACCACAACGGTTTTGAGCGACAAACTCGACATTTCCCAGCGACCATCAAAATCAATTGGACAAAACCAACTTGATGTATTGCGTGACGTGATTGTGCAAACTTTTCTCTTTGTCATAGGACCTGTTTCGCGGGTTCTACAAGTTGGAACCAAAATTAGTTAATGTAACGAATTAGAATAGAAAGTTATTAAAATGGACCGAAGAATTTTACATTTTAATGAGAATTTGATCTTTTAAAATGTTTCCTTGATTCATGGAAAGCAAAGATTGGAGTGGCTTTGGGTATTTCAGCCCTGATTTGGAAAAAATAAAACAGTTATTGGTATGTTCTAAACATCAGAACACCTGAGAGGACACTGGAAATGTAGTAAAATTATTTTTTAGCATCCAGAGCAAAATGAAGAATGTGAGGCAGTGAAAGGAGACTGAGTTTTCAAAGCCATTTGTCGTAAAAGCTGCCACCAGCTCGTTATTGAACTCACTAAAATTTGCCTGGAAGGCATTAACTTTCTTTTGTCGCGAAACTCGTGGATTTTTTAAAATTTTAAGCGGATACAAAAATTAAGACAAAAACTCGTCGTAACACAATTTGTCCTTTGATTTTGTCAAGAGAATTCTGGTTTTGTCTGCTAGTGCAGATAGCCCAGATAGGTACTTACGAATCAATTTTTAGTAAAATAATAGCCTTCACTCTCGAGAAATTACAAATATATTACCCATGTGATCCGACTACAACTTTAATTCCGAAAACTTCGAAAAGATCTCCAGTCAGTCTGGCTTCCTTTTACTGCCTCAAATTTTCCCTTGTGCTGTGTCTGTTAACGAGTACTTTCACCGCATTTCCAATGTTTCTTAAAGTGTTCGGATGTTTCGAACAAACCGATAACTGTTGTATTTTTTCCACATCGTGAACTTGTACTCGAGGATTTCGCCGGATAGCTCGTAGTACTTCACAGTGACTCGATACGTCGTCCCGGTGTCACAGCGGATTTGGACCCCCCCCGGTCCAAATCCGCTAGCGGATATGGACCCCCTTCGCAGATTTGGACCCCCCTACCAAACTTTCCTTTTAAGAATCCTTTGTATCATATTTGGTAACAAATTCTATTTGCAAGCTTTTTTGTCGATGTTCTTTTCAATCACAACACAACATTTCCTCAAGAAAGGTAAAAAAAAACAACAACAGCCATTTCGTTCCAATTCTACCGCATTCATTATAACGAGTCGAACAGTATACGCGAGAATTAGATGTGAACAAACTACTGCATTCGAACTATTGAAATTTTTACAATAAATCTTTGCTTCTTCTGATGCGAATCAACATTGGTACGAAACGTCATAACAATAGTGGAGACTTGCGTCCAGTCACAAAAATAACTCAGTCTGATTTTCTAAAATAATAACATTAAACAGTTTTTGAACAAGAACGAAGAAACTACCCGTATTACATGTCGTTCGTAAAGCCTATGATAAGTAAAAATGTTTCTATTCTGAACTATTGGAACTCTCAGCTTATTCTCAGATGCAAATCAACGTTAATGTCAACGTCTTAACAAAAGTGGAGACTATTACATCGAACTCAATCTTATTTTCTAATTTTAACGATTATTAACTGTTGAGGGATCCGAAATAACACCTTAACAATTACGAAGACGTCTAGAGTCTGGCAATCTGCAGACAATGCAGAGCCACTCGTCCTCCGAGGCAGTCTTAAATCCCTCGCACTGTACCATGTCGTCCCAACACTCGGGCATTGAACAATGACAAAATAAATTAGTGTCACAAGTTTGTTTCTTATTGAATCTAACGGTGTTCGACTATCGCAAAAAAGGTTCAAAAACGACCTCTCTCCAGATATTGAACTAAATTCTTGCTCATTTTCCCTTGGTCAAAAGAAACATCCGACGTGATGCCAGTTCGTATGCATTAACGATACGCATGTTTTGAATTGAAAACATACTTTAGTACGCTCTGGAACGTAGAGTGTCATCCATTTTTACTAGAACGTTTAGGATGATGTTTTCACTCAGTTTTGTTGAGGGGTCCAAATCCGTGGAGGGGGGTCCATATCCGCTAGCGGATTTGGACCGGGGGGTCCAAATCTAGGGGGTCCAAATCCGCTGGGACACCGGCATTCCAGGAGAGAAATCAGGGATGATATACCCAAAGCCACTCTAATCTTTACCTTCCATGAATCAAGTAAACCTTTTTAAAAGTTAAAATTCTCATTAAAATGTAAAATTCTTCAGTCCATTTTAACAACTTTCGATTCTAATTCGTTGCACGAACTAATTTTGGTTTCAATTAGTAGAACTCGCCATATGGCAAGGGGAAAAATTTGCACAATCACGTCACGCAATATGTCAAGCCGGGTTTGTCCAGTTGATTTTGATGGTCGCAAGGAAATGTCGAGTTTGCCGCTCAAATCCGTTGTGGTCCATAAGAGCGTAACATCATTAATGATGGAAACAAATCTGCGGAAAGGAAGGTTAGTTCATCGGGTTCCGTGAACAAAATCTCGGGAGAAACTGCAAGAAAACGCAAAAAAAGAGAATTGGAGAACAACTAAACTACTTTTGAAACATGTGTCCTAAACCCTTTTCATGGGCAAAAAGTAAAAGAAAACTTTTTCTGACGGGAAGTCGAGAGGACCACTCTTAGCGAGAGTGGCACTCAAAACGCCGGCCATTGTTTCGCTCGCAAATTTTCAAATTTTGTTGCGACATCCAAGGCGCGCATTTGATTGGCTATCTGTGAGTTTCTTTGATTATTGACCAATCAGAATGTCTGATTTGTTTCTTTCTTTGCACTGAATTAACTCTCTTCTACACTGAATTACCTGAAAACTGCATTTATCTTAACCAATCAGAACTGAGTAATTTTTCCATGTATATTATTAGAAATGAAATTAATACGACTAGAATCCGCTCTCGCTACTGTATGATTTCCCTAACTTATTATAAAGGTATTCTTTGAAATCTATCGGTGATTATTTAGTCTATATGTTTCATTATTTAGTCTCTCGTCAGCCCTTTATTAAAACACATCGGCCTCATTTTGTAACTCAATCCAGTAAGAAATTCTTCCAAGACAATCACAATACAAATAGACGTGCGGGTTAGGAGAAATCGGGTTTTGATCTTGTAAACACTGTTACGTGTTAAGTTTTGTTGTTGAAGGCCAAGCGAACCAAAATTGCCAAATTTAAAATGAAAATGCACACTACTGCATGCAATTTAATATTTGGAATATAATTAACATATCTACATACACAAACACAGAATCTTTTAGCTTTGCAAGTTTTGACAGCAATGTTTTTGAGACATTCTATTAACAGATGTAAGGTGTAAAATGTGGAGACTTCTAAGCTTATGGAATATTTTCAGAAAAAAGGACTGACTGAGAGTCAACAAAAACACCCCAGAAGGTGAAATAAAAATATATTGTTATGTCATGTTTGTTTGAAAATAATAATTGTAGGCAAGAACAAGAGAGGTCAGGGTATTCTTTATGATACTGGGTAATTTCTCTTAGTTTTATGCTGAGATGAGAACTGAAGCATGATGTGCAATTGTGAATATATTGAAGGGATATTTTCTGGATAACAGCATTATAGGTGGCCGTTGTCTCAAGTGTATGACACCATTCTATCTGACAATACAGAATTAGAAGCTATGAAAAAATAAAAAGGCATAATCAGTTGTCTCTTTTTCTAAACAGTGACTTGTGTACGTCCACCAACTTACACTGTCTCACCTAAGACATTAGAGCGTAGATGTAAAGAAACATTTGAAGCTGCCATGAAGATTCATGGAGGAACAATTTCTAATAAAAGACCTGCACTTGATGGTCTCTATCACACCATATCTAAAAAATGCAAAACCAGTGTTCTAGGTGATTATGTATTATCTAATAGTAAGGTTACAAATTATATCATCAAGCAATGTAAAAAAAAACAGTCAGCAGAATTTAAATGTTCAAAAGATAATGTATTGCGTAGCATAGCTACTTACTATACATCTGGGTAATGGGGAAAAGGAAATACCAAGCTGTGAGGCTAGCATCGTCAATGAAGTCCAGTGATGCAAAGAGGGGAGGTAAAACAGCTATCAAGTTTATGCCAAACTGTCCCATACCAAAACTTCTTACTTACAATTCTCTTGTGAATGAAATAAAAAAGATTGACGTAGCAAAGGTGTATTCCATTGAAGAAGAATTCATAGATGATGAATATATTAATGGGTGCTTTAGAAACTTAAGAGAGTATTTGCCCCGACTAGCAAAATTTTATTTGAACATGCAAGGGAAACGCAAAGGTGCATTAAAATGGTTTGGAGAAACAGAGGGTAGTTTTCTTGTTGCATTTGAGGGGATGGATGCCCTTTTGGTAAAAACGAATCTGCTTGTTCATTCCTTATCAGCTTTCTTAATGTTGGAAAGAGAGTGGCATCCAGCAATGACAATTTTTAGTCTTTGGGGGTAATGTAGAGGAGACCTCCCTTATTGTGAAAAAATACATAAACTTTGTATGTAAACAAATCAAGGATTTAGAGGGATGTGTATTTGAAATTAATGGTTTACATGTGTCATTTTATTTTGAAGAGGTTCCTAATGACATGAAAATGTTAGCAATGCTTGGTGGAGAGCTTAGTAATTCTGCTACATTCTTTTCAACTTTTGCAAATGTAAGTACAAAAGAATGTACTGATTTAGGGGGGACATTTGGCTCCCGTCCTTCATGTAAATGGAAACCCTGGAAGTATGCCAATAGACTTAAAGATGCTAAGGCTGTAGATTCTTTTAAGGTCTCACTGGATGGAAAACCTTTATTGGCAAAACACAAGAGGTCTAAGGTAACTGATTTCAGTTATAGCTCGTCAAAAGAGCCGTCAAGAATATATTCCTTTGGTGGGTAAATTAATTGATGAAGCTCATGTAGAGCCTCTTCCCCTCAAAAATAATGCTTGGGGGTATTTTTTCAAAGTGCTGTTGAAGGAGGCAGTGGCTAAGTCTTACATACCATCAACATGCAAAACATTTGCAGAGGTTCAAAAGGATACCTCTTTGGGGAGACTGGTCACTGCACTTAAATGTGAGGTGAAGGCAGGTTGCTTAGCTAAAAAGGTCCGTAAATGGTTTGACAAAACACAGGGTAAGCAAGGGGATTTACAGTATCGTTTTACAGGAAAAGAGTCATGGTTGTTTTGTCACAACTTTCGAAGGTTGCTGACATTTTTGAGGCAGGCAAATGACAGTCAAAAACAAAGACAGATTTGCTTTCCCTAGCTTATATTGGTGTAAGACTGAGGGATTTGTGCTCAATCATCAATCGATTTGAAGTGGAAGATACTCATCTTGAGCAACTTCAGCAATTAGCAAAAGAGTACTATCGTGCCAATGCACTACTGTTACCCACCTCAGTAAATCCCACTATCTGGACCATTAGCCATGTTGTGGCTGCTCATGCCAGGCAGGTCCATGATAAATATGGTCAAGGTCTTTTAACTGTAACAATGGAGGGTAAAAAAAGCCAAACATATAGCTTTACAGAAGTTAAGTGTAAACACTACATACCAACATCGATGGGCTGAAATTTTCAGGCATGAATTTATTTTATGTTGGTTTGGTTACCTGAACAGCATCATGAACCTTGTTCTTACGCTCCTAGTAAAAATGTTTACATTCCTCAAAGGGTTTTTAATGACAGTAACTACTGCTACTGTGGACTACATAAAGCCGATCCCGCTGATAAGAGCTGCTGTTTATGTAGTGATCATCTCATGGCACTAATTCATAAAAGTGTGAAAGAAGGAAAAATTGTTGCAGGATTATCCTAGTTTCAGAAAATGTTACCGTAATTTCCGGCCGTTTACCCGCACGGCCGATTACCCGCACCGGCCGATTATTGCATACTGCGAAAAAAAAAAGTTAACAGATTACCCGCACGTTAGGTTATTCAACTTTATTATTTCAACATTAAGGTGATACATTTCAGTCTTTTAAAAGCTGTCTGATCTAACTTTCGAAAACTTGAAAGCGTCTTTGTCGAGCTTAAAGGTCAAAGAAATTCAGACGCGTGCACAATTCTGTGTCAATGTTAGCATGTACTTTATTGATAAAATTATACAGTTAAGACACTAGCGGCCCATGCCCAAATCTCAACGTTTCATACTTGACAAATGCGAATTTGTGGGCACATTTTGTGCGAGCGATCGTTCAGCGCCATGTTGATTTGTTGAAAGAAAGCTGGGTGAGTGTTAAAACTAGAATTATAAAGTACTGTCGGCGATTTCTGAAAAAAATCGATATCTCCGGTTCTAGTGGGCCTAACAAGTCCCTTAAAACGGGAAAAATCTCTTTAGCTCAAGCTAGTGTTACTGATGCGCCGGATGTCTTTGGATTATTTTCGTCACCAAGGTTTTGTTTTCACGCGTGCCGCTAGCAATTTGTTCGTCACGCAACTAATTATGCGTGAAATAAACTCGAGTCGGCATCATGTTTTCGTACCGCTTTGTGGCACTCTTAATACAATAAAATTCACTTGAGAGGTGGAAACACATGTTGGTGATAATTTTTTTCAATTCAACTACCAGTAGATTTTAAAATTGTCACATAACCCGCACCTACCTATTACCCGCAGTGACGCGCGTTTAATGCAAAATCAACAGATTACCCGCGGGTAAACGGCCGGAAATTACGGTAATACAATCAAGCAAAGGTGAAGTGACATGATTGTCAAATGAAGTCACCACATGAGTGCTTTTAGAGCATGCAATCATTGTAATTAGCTGTTGTTGCCTTTTTTAGTTCACAGAAAACTCAGCATTTTATTCATTTAAGCATTCGTAAAATTCAGGGGGAACAGTAAAAGGGAATTATTTTACTTTTATCCTGGCTTGGTTCATTTATTTAATCATTTATTCATTTATTCTTTTTTTCCCAGCCTGTAACTTTGAACAGAGAGAAAGAAACTGCAACTGAACAGCTCCTGATCTAATTGTTGATTTGTAATACCAGCACTGTTTAGCTGAAGGTAAGGAGTGATTGCTTTTTTCTTCATGCAACATAATCTACCCACAATTCCTCTAATCGCTCTGACGAAGGGCTAACGCTCGAAACGTCAGCTTTTTTACTCTTTACGGTGGCTAATTTACGTTTTCAACCCAGTTGTTAACACTAAATTACCTGCTATACTCTCCCACCGACGCAGCACCACAGTTTCTTTAGAAACTTACCCTTTTAACATAACAAGTGGCTCGTTGATATGGCGTAAGTTTGGCGAGTGAGTGTGAGAGCGAGTGCAGGGAAAGAATGGGGAGACAATTAAAATTGTCCTAGGGGGTGAACGACGGTCAAAACATTGGACGGGTAGGGCAATATAAGTTCTCACTTTTCCCCGGTCCTCACCTCAAATAAACGATCGTGAGCTTGTAACGATAACTCGCCCCAACAAGACGCCTGCATTGTAGGCTAATATAAAGGCGATATACTTTCAATTTTTGACGCCTCTTTCCATTCAGGATTTTAAATGAGTACCAGCAAACGGTCACAGTAACTTGCTGGGATTTAGGTGTTAATCGACAAATTAAATACCATTGACGCGAGAAAGGAAGCTTACACATTCAGAAGCAGCGATCTTTGCGCTCAAATGTGGTGTTTGAAAGTGGGTAAAATTATGTGTAAATAGAATAAGAGAGATAATAAATTTTGAGAACGGTAAAGATGTAGAGAAAGTAATATCTTTTGTCTTGTCATGAGCGTGGGATAAATGATAAGTTCTGATTCTCCAGGCGGAGTCGAATCTCAAACTTTCGGATTTCATCGGTGCGCGGAATCCGACGGTTTCGCAAATGTTTTTCTCTTAGCTAGAATTGACCAAGATCCACATTTGTTGTACGAACTCTCTGACATCCCTTGTCAACAGCAATGATATCATATAGCAGGACTGATAGGAGCTTTTCATCTCAACAGATTTAATTTCGAGGTCAAGATGCAGAGCCACGACAACGAACGAAAGAAACAACGTATAACACCATGTGTTCTCTTTGGGCTCCTTTGTATTTTTTTGGGAGGCATAAGCCTCATAGGGTATTTCCTGACTCCTGATGACTCTGCACCTAATCCAAATGATCCTGCTTCTTACGAAAAACATAAATTCTGTAACAAACCGCATACCTTACAATTTGGCATAGCTTTTATGTCGGTTGGATTCTTACTCCTTCTTGGTGTCGTTCTTTGCCAGAACGAAGGTGCTGATTGTTAAAGAAAACCAACCCTAACCTCATCCTACAAATACAGTATATTTTTTGGAAAAGTAGTTTGTGTGTTTAGTTCACATTATTGCAATTACATCGTTAAGAATCGTACTAAAAAATATTTACAACCTATCAAGTGAAGTTACCCTTGAAGTTGTATTATCGGATGACAAAAACTAGCTGATCACAATGCAATTGAGTCAGGTTAACTGAAGAGTCAATAACTAAAATATGGAGTTTTACAAGGACTTTGTTTTGGTAGAGATAACTTCAGTTCTGTGTTGGTAGCCCTCAAATGGTCCAAATAAGACATAAACATTCCAAGTATCTCTTTATAATCTACATCCTGAATATCATTTTAGTGAAAAGCCGGATGCCCTACCATTTGGCATAGTTTTTATGTTGTTTGGATTTTTACTTCTTGACTCACAGCGACACCATCGGTGCTCCTCCTAGATGCAGTTCAAAGGAAAAAAGGGCCCCCTACCATTGTTTTCTTTCTTACTCTGGGGAGTCCCCTGGCAAGCTTCGATCTCGTGTAGTAGACCCAGTTACCTTGGCTCCCGCACGGCACGCTTTCAAGCATATTGAACATGTGCTTTCATAAGGGTTGACAGAACGGGAGTTAGGTATTGTAGTAACTTGCACGGCGTATGTTAATTCCAAATTTTGTGTTTTGTATGATAATGATGGTATAGACCCGGGTGCTTTATTCGAACAACTTTTAACTCAGCATTGATAACACGGTCGAGTAAGTCCCAGTCCTCTCCGCCCCATTTGTATTTGTAGTCCTCGGTGTTCATTCCTATAGAGAGTACATATGCCTACATAAGATTTAGGAGGTTTCCGTTTACCATTGGAAAAAAAAATTTCCGTTAACTACAGATATTCACAATTTTAAATGTACTGACTCAATTTTTTTAGAGCTAAGTTTAAGGTAGTTGAATTTCTTGCCATGCAACTGAATGAAAATCGAGTAGTGAAATTGTGCATATTGCATGTCAGTTCTAGGAACTGATGAAATTATAATCAGTATTTTCTAAAGAAGCGTCAACTGAAAACTGATGTTTTTTTACCTCTGAACCTCACCCAGTCTGATTTATAAATGCTCATTAAGCCAAATCCTTCCATTTCCCAATAACCTTTATGATCGACATACGTACTGCCACAATGTAACCGGCCTACAATGGGAGCGTAAACAAGATGTCCTTCGACGGTGTTCTGCAAGACAAAGAATTGTTATTAAAGCTAGAAATGAGGACCGTAGAAACAAATTATGATTAAATCAATGTAAATAAAAAAATATTGGTGAGGTGTGCTTACATCAGATAGACTAGAGCAGTCCCTGCGCACAATACGATAGCGCGCCACGTGGAACCTTGGAGTGAGGCTCACGAACTCCTAGGGTTCTCTCGGGCGCTCTAACTAATTTTTTTTTTACTTATTTTTTTTACTCGCACGACGGACTTCGCTGAAAAGCAGGGACTGCTTGTAGTCAAGCATCAAATGGCACACCAATCTAAAGGCAAGCACCCGTATAAAGGTTTACTAGTACCAGTTCATAGCACTACAATGGATATCCGCACGACACAATAAAGCTCGCGAGATTGGTCTATAACATAAATACTAAATAAATATATAGATTAACGAGTAAATAATCATTACTCAAATCAAAGATAGAAACTCACCTTACGAACGCTGACCAATATGTCCAAGGGAACGTCGATATGGAGATCAAACAGAAACAAAATGTCATGTATACTTGGAATATACTCAACAGCTTTGTTCAAAGCCAGCGTCTTGTAAAATTTCCCTTTTAATGGAATAATCGTGTGTCTGTTATGAAGAAGAGTGGTGTTAAATGCCTTTGTCATGTCAATATCCTCGCTTTCAAAGTCAACAACAATGACATGAAAGTTCGTATCGCCCGTTAAAGATCTGGCTATTGTGATTTCGTTTATAAAATGATACACCCATCTTCCTTGTTCCTTGACAGGGAGAATAAAATACACCTTAGCTTTATTGTTCCAGCTCATACCTCGAGGAAAACACAAGTTGTGGTTGGCATCCTTACCAAACACATGCTCTGATAAACGAAATGATTGATTGACGTCTTGTGAACCGAGCTCAAGATCTACAGAATAAAGATCGCCATGGACTGGATCTGGGATGTTTAAAACCATGTGAATTCTCTTCAGAAAATATTTCCTGGAAGTAGATCAAAGAATGATATCAGTTTGATAGTGTAATGGACTTCATTGTATGTAATGTGTATCTCTAAAACAACCTTGGTTTCCAGGAATTTTTTCCTCTCCCAAGATGGAGGGAGTAACTTGGGAAATCGAAATTAAGCCAGTTAATGAATGACATGCACACACCTCTTTGATGCATGTGATTGGCTCTGGCCTTAAAGCATTAGTTCCAAACTCAGCCCGAATGGCTGCCTAGTAAAATATATTATTTTGCTGACATTTCAGCATGGTGTATCATAATGATGGTGAAAGACGCTAGTCACAGTTTGAGGGTCTTTGTGAGGACTGTTCATCATTTGCAATCCGTGCGAATCGTGGCCCAATTTTTACACCGTTTTTCTTCTTAATAGAGTTTAATCGTTACGTAGCGCATCGGCAGTAGTTCACGAATTTTTTGGCATTTGCTATATTGCTGATAGTTTAATTTTTAGGTCAACTTACTTTGAGGTTTTATGGTTTAGCGACGTAATTATCTCATCCGTGACTCCATGAATTTTGTCCCTGTCGGCAATTTTGTTAGGCCAGTTCCGCAAATTTTCACCAGTCAGTGCACTGCTATCATCAGCAGGGTAGACGCTGGATAACTGCACCGCTTTGCGGCCTTGATAACGATACACTTTTCCTCCATTTGACAAAGAGCCGGACTGGAAATCACACAAGGGAAGATAACTATCTTTTGGGAGCAACGGAAGTGATTGAAATTGTAAGCGTTTATGATCTGTTGATTTAGATTTCATCTCAAGATCTTGACGATAGCTCTCCGAAAGCAAACTATGCAAAACATCTTTTGCTTTGGTGATCATAACATCGTTTGCATGGGACGATAAGTACTCTGAACTGATAAGGTAGAAATTGGTATCATTGCGACGCTTCCAATAAACTTGTACAAAGCCAAGAGCCGCTCCTTGCTTATGCACAACTTCTATGTAGTATTTTCTGTCTCCAGAGAGCATTAGATGTTCTGAGATTTGTCCGGGATATTTACGAAGTTCATCCTTTTCCGTTCACGCACTTACTCCTTCTTTAAAAACACGCGCAATTAACTGTTTCTCCTTCGGATCATCGCTAGGACTGAGCCATAACTCTGACTCGTCATCAGAGGCTATGGCGAAGTTGTACTCATCGCTGTGAGGAGGATGGAGGAAGCCAAAAATCCGTTGGCCATAATCGATGGTGTTGTCGATAATTTGAAACTTAAGCATATTGAGCTTCATGAACATTTCGTCAGGATAATGCGGAAAAAGCAAATATTGACGCAGATTTTGGATGCTTGAGCCACAAACCTCTGGCCATACGTGAATATTTAGAGCACCCACAGCAGCGATGACACTTGGTGTGCCGTTTGTAGTGGTCATTGCATCATTTTTTACCGCAACATGAACAGCGTCATACGTTTGTGAATGGTACAACGTACTGAAGATATAAAAGCAGATTGAACAGAGCATTAAAGCGGAGAGCATAACCTTCAATCGTTTTCGAAGTCGAAAGCAGAAATTAACTTTTACGAAGGCAATGAAGCGGAAGAATCGACGTGTCGTCATGCTTTCTCGCTCAGTTTTATGCTGACCGGGAAGCAAATATAAACCAGCAATCGATCGCAAAAGCGGGTAATCTTAGCGTTAAATGCTCGTTGAAGAATTCGTCACAAAGCTTAAAGCTCCGATATGCAAGTATTGTCAGTTCTACTCGAGTATTTAAATAAGATGAAATGAGATGAACTTTATTGCCCGGTGTCAGGTGTAATAATTGTTTGCTCATTGTAATTTCAACCAATGAAAATTTTGTAGACAAAAATTTTTCTGCAAAGCAATGGAATTATCGAGCAACCTTTGGGGCATTGCAGGTGTAAAGTATAGAATCCTTAAGGAGGGGTTCCCAAATCTCCATAAAAATAGTGGGTTACTTAGGAGAAAGGAAGTGTGAGTGTGTGTGTGTGTGTGTGGGAAGTGTAGTAAGTGTAAAATGATGATAAATAAAAATGTTAGTTGTTTAGTAGAGCACGTACCATTAGGCAGTGCAAAAATAAAATGATTGGTTGATGAAAAACGCTAATGTTTAGGGACTAACAAACTGCAAGGCAGCTACGTCAACCAGAAGGTAGCGTCAAAATAAAAATCAATTGTTGTTCAATTGTGCACTATAGCGTTGAGGGACCGACAGACTTCAAGGCAGCTACGTCAACCATAAGGCAGTACAAAAATTAATGATAAAAATAAGACTGGCTAGAATGAAATGTTATGAGATAGTCGTAATTGGAAGAAAAGAAATGAGGGGATGATTGATAGTATGGTTAGTGGCTGTTAAAAGTAGCAGGTGGAAGGTGGTGTGTAGGGGGCTTAAATAGGTTTTTTTGAAAACCAATGCTGGATTGACCATTTTGATTGATATGAGGGGGGATTCGTTTAGGATGGGTTGCTTTAAGGTGCTTTCGATAAACAATTTTAATTGAAGTTAATGACTGATCAAAGTTATTGGTATCTGCCTTGAATTTAATGGGCAAAAACGATAGATACAAAAGTAAATGCCAAAACAATTTAATGCAATAAAAACTTGACCAAGATATTGTAACAACACATGAAAGTGTAAAACAGAAAATAAACTGAACATCGAAAATAGGAATCAGATGCTGAAAATATATTGTTTGTAGTACAATTTTATAAATTAAAAAAAAAATGTTTATTTCATGTAAAAAATTTTCTGTCTCTGTGTAAATGTTCTATTCATTTATATCGTCAAAGGTGTGTCAAATAGCCTTCAAATACATGTCCCACGTAGAATTGTTCATTTCTGTAATCATGTCATGGAGCTGTTGTACTTAAATGAGGATGAAGTATTTTTCAGACTTATCAAACAAACAAATTGTCTCATTAAGTGTAATTTTCTTTGGATATTTCATACACTTTAGTCTAAATTTGGGGAAATAACAAGTGTAGAGGAAACCTTTACGATTGATTATGAAAATAAAATATGTAACTATATATCATTGTCTTTTCACAAAATCCAACAAGTTACGTGGTTGAAATAATTTTGGAAAAGGTGCAAAACACATTAGCACTAAAAAAATTTTATGACCAAGATAAATACAAACTCCTTCACTTCTCATCATCACCAGGCCTGTGTAAACTTTCTCAGTCCACCTCATCGCCTGAAGAAGACTAGCAGTATGCTGTCGAAACATCACAATCCACGCTAAAGTGATCACGTTGTACGACTAATGATTACAATCAGAACCTGTTTTGGGAATTCAATAGAGGGATAACCCCATAGTAAGATCCTGCCAACTTGTTACAATGAAAAAAATATCTTAAAAAAATCCTTATTTGCATTATCAGTTTTTCTACATCTATGTAGCTTTAACAAAACAAGCAATTATTTTTGTGTGATAACTTTGATTTGCTAGTGAAGATGAGAAAAATTAAATTGAGAAAAAGGGTTATGTGGCAAATGTGTTCACTGTTTAAGTTGTGTGTTTGTTTCGATTTGACAAATAAAGGTTGCCCCTCTTAGCCTGTGCATGCATTTCTGCCAACTATTCTAGCTATCCAAATTCATAACCAGCACACAGAGATTGAACTGTTACCAAATTCTTTACAAATGCTTGCTAAAATTACGCGACCAAATTATTTACCGCATAAAAATTATGAAATAAAAACGTCTGCTCATGCAGACAAGGCTTCTTTCAGGTCATTGCTATTAGTAAAAAAACCCTGTTAGATTTGAACTCAATCATAAACTAAAATGAAGCGAAATCCGACATCTGAAATATTCCTTTGTTCTCCACCATCTCTACGAGCTTGATGGATCGAGGTATATCAGAAGATGACTACATTATATAATGGCATTTCCACGGAAGACTTTGCTGCCCGTCTAGATTTGTAATGATCCTGTTTAGGAGGCTATGGACATTTTCTAGGACAATTACATTTGATATAAAAGACAGTAAGAATTACTATTAAATTTAAATCTCGAAATTCCAAAAATGTTATCAGCATTGTAATGATTAGCTAAGATTCTACGATCGTTAATTACGTAATTTCCGTTTTGAGTCAAGTTTTTAACCCTTTAACTCCCAAGATCTCATTAGTAATTCTCCTTACTGTCTGCCATATAAATCTTGTGATGTTAGTTCGGAGCATTTGGTATTGGATAAACTAATTATCCCCAAATTGATATTTTCTTTATTCTTCTCACTTATCTGGTTGATATTGTATTGATATTGTAAGGAGAAATTCTGTCTTGGTCACTTATGGGAGTTTAGGGGTTAATCCTTTACACCCTAAAACTAATAATACCTCACGGTAGAGTACCAACGAGTAAAAACTGTCACAGTTGCGTGCCGAATCAAAATTAGGAAGTAACCAGAACGCAAAGCATTTTTCAAACTGAATCGTTGTTTGAAAAAGCATTGCAAAACTCAAAGGCTATCCTTTTTTTTTTTTTAATCTTTAAGAACTAAACTTGTAACGCTAGACTACAGGTGGAATGTCTGTGTCCCTTGCAAGACCTGAGACAGCTGAAACTTTAACATTCTTGATACGGAAAGATGAATTAATTTCAAATGTTTCGTGTTTGTGTTTTAACATGTTTTTAGAACTCAACTAAGTAGTTTCATGCCAAGATAGCTCATTAATCGTTCCATAGTGTCATGGCAGCAGTCCATTTGATGCAGATGTCACCTGGGTAATACTGCTTTTGTTCGCATTATATGTGAAGTGGATATCTCTTGTACTTGCCTTGACGCTGCCGTGCTTCACAGTTCTGATGGGAGATCTCTGTTATTTTCCTTTCACAAGCTTGACAAGCAATGAATACGCTTAGGTTGTTAAGAAACTTGAGCATCCGGGCTTTAACTTCTTTCTCTGGGTTTTCCAGTAGTGTAGGTCCTTGTACAGACTTCAATTATTTTCTGGCTTCCTTGAAGATAGTTGTTGGCGTTGTTGCCAAGTGGGTGCTTCCTTTGAAGTACTTGACGTTCAGGTTTTGGAATTCATATGTGGTGCCATTTTTTACCTTACTGATGGACTCATCCCAAATGTGAATTACGGCTGTACCTGTGTTGTCTTCTAACACACAACCCTCTTTGACGAGCGTGATCTTTTCTGTGGATTTCACTTCAACTGGCTTAGGTTCTTCTCTACCTACTGAAATGGTTGCTGTCACATGTCACATGACTTTCTGGTTTATCTTTGGAGTTGGTACCTGTCCCAGAGTGATCGTGACAGCGGGTTGCACTGAAAAGGAGAATGATTCAGATGAAGCGACGTCTGAAAAATAATCAAAGTCAATGTCGAACGCTGGTGTAACTCTTACAGTTGACTGTTGGTTGAAGATAATTAATGTCCTTGTTGGACTCGTTCGTCTTAGTATTTGACAGCAGCACAGGGGTTTTTGATTGTTGATGTTCATTAAAGGTTGAGTAGCTTGGGACATTAAATCCAACTACTCGCTGTACTTTGGAGGGACTTGTTTGCAGATGAAACTAAAACTGATCGGTTTTCTTTGAGCGTTTTACAGGGCTTAAACTATGTATAAAGCCACGGATTGACCCTAGGGAAAAAATAAAAAAACGCATGTTAAATGTGCAATGAGTCACAACAGATATTTTTTAGCAGATGGTCCATGATTAATTTATCATAGCATTTAAAGGTTTATGTGGAGAACAGCAAAGTGCAATCAATTTTAGTTAAGTGAAGCAAAAAATTGCGATTTGCGATTTGCGAAGAGTTGCTTGAATATGAGATGCAACATCTTTTTTGTTTTTTTGCTCGTTTTGCACGGAAATGAAACTTAAAAATTTCCCAAACCAAAAGAATATTATCTATTTAAGAGAAATGGTTGTCAAGCAGATCTGTTCATGAATATTTATTCCTCTGCAATTGACCGTTATTATTGGAAATAAATTTTTCTTTGTTCCACCAAGAATCTTTTATTTGAAGGACATTTCTATTAGGCTTGTATTTGACGCTTACTAAGCGAAGGGTATCTGTTTTGTCAGAGTGATTTCATTGGATCGTTAAACAAAATCTTACTGTTAGATATCACTAGCCAAAAAAAGTAGAACAATAGAATTAGTGTTTAACAGTAACTAACACTGTCTACTATATGTAGCTTAGTAACTGTTTCATGGATTAATGAAAATCATTCTAGAGTCTGTGTTTAGTAGCTGTGTGCTAGTTTGCTGGCATTGTGATCTACTGTTCTGTGGCGTGGAAGACAAGTAAAATTACTTGTAAAAAAAATTGTAAAGTTCGTTTGCAGGCTCAAAATTTGATAATCTTTGTTCTACTTGCCTTTTACTGCCTTATTATGGTACGCTATGCTGAAATGTCAGTAAAATGATATACTGTTACGGGAAAATTGACTGATTTTCCCGTGTGTGTTATTCGAAACATATTTATTCGTAAACTTTCACATTTAACCATTTCAAGTCCTTTCATTTTAATAAATCAAAAAATGCATAAAAACCACAGTAGCTTTTGAATAGATTTTTGTTGTTACTCGCTTTCATCATATGCACCTGGTTGTCGGCACTTTTGGTATTTATTATATGGTTTTTTTTAGGTAAATATAAGTGTTGATGGTCTTTCTGGAAACATTGGTTTTCATGGTAGATAGCAGCTGAGTTTATACTCGTAACTTTAATTTCTTTTCATGCGATGGTTTCCAAACCAATCTTGCATAGATAAGCAGAAACTTTTAATTGCTTTTCCGTTTTTTTATTTCCTGAGCTGCGCTACTGCAATTAAGACAGGTATTGTTTTCTATATCAGAGCTGTAAATTCGCACCTAAGTTTCCTTCGTTAATGGCCTAGAGTTTATTTCATCCGTCTTTTTAATTTTGAGATTCTTTCCGTCGTAAAAACAGATGGAATATCTAAGTAGTTTTCGTTTAACTTCAAAGAGACTTTTTTCCCGCTCCTTTGTGTCCTTATTCAAATATTGCGATTTGTGTAACAATAGCACTTCACACCAGTTAGTTCTTAAGCAAATACCTTTTACAGCTTTGATTATTACAAACTAGAGTATGCTAGAGGTCATGTCGCTTGTTGGCCTGACCTAGAATAAAAGTACTGTGGAACCAAAGATTGTCTTATCCTTGACGTCCGTATAAGCTCGCTCGAAGCAGATCTCCGTGTACCAGGAAATCGTGACGAGTTTCCGTTCTCGCAAGCCAAATCATCTCTATCGAGCAAATTTCCCCCCGTTGTACGTTCCCGCGAAAAGTCCAATTTAAAGTGCGCGAAAACCTATCGTCACAATACTTTGCTAGGTTACTATTCGGGCTGAGTTGGAACTAGTGCTTTAAGGCCAGAGCCAATCACATGAATCAAAGAGTTGTGTGTACGTCATGAATTAACTGGCTTACTTTCGATTTCCCAAGTTGTTCCCTTCATCTTGGAAGAGGAAAAAATTCCTGGAAACCAAGGGTTTTTTTTAGAGATACACATTACATCCAATGAAGACGCTTGCTTTGAACAAAGTTGTTGAGCATATTCCAAGTATACATGACATTTTGTTTTTGTTTGATCTCCATATCGACGTTCCGCAGGACATATTGGACAGCGTTCGTAAGGGGAGTTTCTATCTTTGATTTGAGTAATGATTATTTACTCGTTAATCTATATATTTATTTAGTATTTATGTTATAGATCAATCTCGCGAGCTTTATTGTGTCGTGCGGATATCCATTGTAGTGCTATGAACTGGTACTAGTAAACCTTTATACGGGATGCTTGCCTTTAGATTGGTGTGCCATTTGATGCTTGACTACAAGCAGTCCCTGCTTTTCAGCGAAGTCCGTTGCGCGAGTAAAAAATTAGTAAAAAAAATTAGCTAGAGCGCCCGAGAGAAGCCTTGGAGTTCGTGGATCTCACTCCAAGGTTCCGCGTGACGCGCTATCGTATCGTGCGCTGATTTTTTAACTCAAAACTCCGAAAGGGAAGGAATGCTCGTAGTCTATCTGATGTAAGTTCACCTCACTAATCTTTTTTTATTTATATTGATCTAATCATAATTTTTTCTACTGTCCTCATTTCTAGCTTTAAAAACTATTCTTTGTTTTACAGAACACTGTAGAAGGACATCTTGTTTACGCTCCCATTGTAGGTCGGTTACACTGTGGCAGTACGTATGTAGATCATAAAGGTTATTGGGAAATGGAAGGATTTGGCCTAATGAGCATTTATAAATCAGACTGGATGAGGTTCAGAGGTAAAAAAACATCAGTTTTCAGTTGACGCTCCTTTTAAAAAAATATTGATTATAATTTCATCAGTTCCTAGAACTGACATGCAATATGCATAATTCACTCCTCGATTTTAATTCAGTTGCATAGCAAAATATTTTATTGAGGCAGTTGCAATTTTAGGCTAGAGAAATTATACGAAAATTTAAAGCAACTACCTTGAACTTAGCTGTAAAAAAAATTGAAAGTCAGTAATCTCAGAAAAGTTACATTTTAAATTGTGAATACTTGTTGTTGATGAAAATTTTTTTCCTAGTGGTAAACGGAAACCTCGTAAATCTTACGTAGTCATTTACACTCTCCATGGGAATGAACACTGAGGACTACAAATACAAATGGGGCGGAGAGGACTGGGACTTACTCGACCGTGTTATCAATGCTGAGTTAAAAGTTGTTCGAATAAAGCACCCAGGTCTATCATTATCAACAGAACACAAATCTTGGAATTAACACACGCCGTGCAAGTGACTCCAACGTAGAATATTACTAACTACCGTTCCGTCAGCCGTTATGAAAGCACACGTTCAATATGCTTGACGGCGTGCCGTGCGGGAGCCAAGGAAACTGGGTCTATTACACGAAATCGAGGCTTGCCGGGGGACTCTCCAGAGTAAAAAAACAAAACATCGGTAGGAGGCCTTTTCTCCTTTGAACCGCATCTAGGAGGAGCACCGATGGTGTCGCTGCGAGTCAGCAATGCGGTTTTAATGTCTCTCCAGATGGTTGATTTGCAACTGTTTGCTCTGTAATTTCTTTAACCTTATTTCAGATTCTCCGAAGAGATACTTGGAATGTTTATGTCTTATTTGGACCATTTGAGGGCTACCAACACAGAACTGAAGTTATCGCTACCAAAACAAAGTCCAGCTAAAAACTCCATATTTCAGTTATTGACTCTTCCGTTAACCTGACTCAATTGCATTGTGATCAGCTAGTTTTTGTCATCCGATAATACAACTTCAAGGGTAACTTCACTTGATAGGTTGCAGATATTTTTTAGTACGATTCTTAACGATGTAATTGCAATAATGTGAACTAAACACACAAACTACTTTTCCAAAAAATATACTGTATTTGTAGGATGAGGTTAGGGTCAGTTTTGTTTAACAATCAGCACCTTCGTTCTGGCAAAGAACGATACCAAGAAGGAGTAAGAATCCAATCGTCATAAAGGCTATGCCAAATGGTAGGGCATGCGGTTTGTCACTAAACTGATATTTTTCATCAGAAACAGGATCATTAGGATTAGGTGCAGAGTCATCAGGAGTAAGGAAATACCCTGTGAGGCAAATGCCTCCCAAAAATATACAAAGGAGCCCAAAGAGAATACATGGTGTTACACGTTGTTTGTCAACGTCGTGGGGCTGCATCTTGAACTCGAAATTCTGTTGAATTTGAATTCTCCCCAACAATTAGATCAGGAGCTGTTTAGTTGCAGTTTCTTTCTCTCTGTTCAAAGTTACAGGCTGGGAAAAAGAGAATAAATGAATAAATTATTAAATGAACGAACGAAACCAGGATAAAAGTAAAATAATTCCCTTTCACCGCTCCTCCTGAATTTTGCGAATACTTGGGTAAACACAGCTATGAAAATGATAACGGTCGAAGAAGAAGCGTTTTAAAAGCTTTTAAGTTATACACAGAAATAAAGATTTGAAGAGACAAAATTGCTGACTTCCTTCGCAATAAAAACTTGCAGATCATATTTCAAGTTTCTCGGTTGGGGCTGAACGCAGAATCATGCGTCATGATTTACAGCGGTTAAATTGGAAGGAATCATTGGTGTCTAAAACTTGGGAGTCATGACTGATAACGAATTAAGAGAAGAAGTTTAAAAAAGTTAATCCTGAATTTTGAAAAAAAAAATTGTGAATGAATCATAAATCGTTTGGCTAATAACGAATCTCGGAGGTCGATAAATGATTCTCTTCCCTACTCTCGGGTTTACTTAAAGATTGCCCGCCATCCGAAAACTGTCACGAGATGGAATTTCAACAAACCAATTATCAAAGTTCACATGCCCCAGGGCTTACCTTGGAGGGAAGGATGTTGAAGCTTCCAATTGATAGATGCATTAAATCTTATTACTTTCTCATTTCTTCCATCACATTAAATTCAATTTGGTCATCATTATCCTCCAGTACTTTGTACTGTTTGATCGTCAATTTATACGCATATCAAATAAAACTTGAAACCTTATCTTGTCTATTGTTATTGTGCATATGGTTTAATTGGGGTACACCACGAGTTAGTGGAAGGACATGGCATGGCAAAGGAGTTGAGAAAGTTCTCACTACTCAACATTTAAAAAAAAAATTGAATAACTAGAGATATCATCGTGAGGTAACCCCAAGGAGCCTTGATTTTTCAAGCACCAATTCTGTTTAGCTATAACCAAATACCTGGTTAAAATTGTACAATAATATCATTATTTTCAATCTTTGTAGCCGTTTCTTCCAGATTTACTCAATAGAATATGGAGGATGGTTTGCCCTTTTTTCGTAAATTGTTCTCTTTTCGTATTTTATTGAAACCTTTAATTCAATTTTTGCTGAAATAGAACCATAAATACTTCAACCACGAATTTTAATGTTAAATACGCATTTATGAATTTATTGGTTTATCAAGAGTTGAAATTATGCCTATTTGTCTCTTAGTAAGTTTCTTCTTGAGCTGTGGTTTGGGATTACATTACATTTCTTTTTTGGTGAGTCAGTATTACTTCTGGATAAAACTTATGAGTTCATTTTGATCGTAAGAAAACACACAGGTTGCCATGGGAACACATTGTATCACAATGATGGCAAGAACAACAAGCAATTTGATAACAATAATGATGCTTGTGGCGGGTTTGGATTCTTAAACAAACATATCTTGTTCGGAGGTGGAGACCTACTGATTTCGAGCACTCATCTTTTGTATTAAATCGAAATCTTTATTATTGGGGATATTCTTGAATGAGGTACTCGAAAACGTAAGAACTGAAAGGTAATTTACGACATAAACTAATATTACGAACGATTAGAAAAACTATTTGTAACATGTGCTATTGCGGTGCAATCAGCCGACATGTACAAGCGTACACGGAAGTACTCTTTTAGAATTGAATTAAATCACGCACGATAACTGCGATAACAAACATAATCCGAAAGCATGCAAACAGAAATTACATGAGCGAAATCGTACCTCTTTTCCCCGGTTAAGATTCCTGATCTTTTACTGTCTTGTTTCAAGCAAGTATCTTCGGCTCTTACTTGGTGTAGAAGACAAATTGTACGTCACAATAGAATTCCATCATAACTGGGAAAAAGAACACAATTAAAACAATAGTGTGACGTATACTGTGTCTTCTTCACCAAGTAAGATATTTTCGCTTCGATCCTAATTGACTGAAGTCTTTGGCGTCCGTGATCAATTAGGATTGTATGTTATGTCATCGTCCTTTGACCCTTTAATACCTGATAGTGACTGGCATCTAATTTCTCCTTTCAATATCATCCCCGAATCAAACATTATGGTCATGAGAATAAAGAAAACGATGATCAATCGAAGAACCTCTTGATTGTTAAACAAATTCTCCTTGCCAGCACATTAGGAAAGCGCACATGTAACCACACAGGATCTCGCACAATTTCAATAGCACCAAGGTTTTCTCTTTGATTACATGACTCATAGATAATGTCAAAAAACCCATTTCGTGTAGTACTATGAAGCTTAAGATGATTATAAAAAACACCATAACACAGCTCCAGAAAACAATCAACTGCACAGGAAAATTTACCAGCATTGTGTAAACAGTAATTACAGAAGTGATCTCTGCCAAATGAATGGGTATTTTCCTCTAACAGTTTTGCAGCTTCTGAGTAATTTATGTTTCCATTTAATCTGTGCTTTTTTTTTTTTATCAGAAATTGCCAAGGGATTGAATGATTTACGATTAACAACATAAACAATATACTTTAACAATACTTCGGTGCACGCACTTCAGCAAGTAGACTTTGGACCTGAGCACTTCTGATCGGATTTCAACCGAATCTAAGCTCCCTGAGATCCAAACTGATTTGCTAAGCTCCCTGAAGCTTGACCGATAGTGGCTTCCTGGCAAACAGTGTTAAGGCAGTTTTGCACTTTTGTGCACGCTGATGAATAGGCACAAAACTGACAGCGACACACCGTGTAACTCGTGACTCGTTTGAGTATACTAGGTCGACTAAAGAGGCTTTGTCCGCCCTTTGATGGAGTTTATTTTTGTCAATACAATTGACTATTTTTGGCAAGACAAATGACTGTTGTTTTGGCGCGCTCGCCGTGACTGTTACGGAGTCGTAACCCTCGCGTCCTCGCGTCCTCGCGAGGGTGACTTGTTAACATTTAGTACGCTTAATCTTTATACTGTTCTTTATGCGTTCCTAATGTGCTGACAAGGAGAATTTGCTTAACAATCAAGAGGTTCTTCAGTTGATCGTCGTTTCCTTTATTCTCATGCCCTTAATGTTTGATTCGGGGATGATATTGAAAGGAAAAACTAGATGCCAGTCACTATCAGGTATTAAAGGGTCAAAGGACGATGACATAACATACATTCCTAATTGATCACGGACGCCAAAGACTTCAGTCAATTAGGATCGAAGCGAAGATATCTTACTTGGTGTAGAAGACACAGTATACGTCACACTATTGTTTTAATTGTGTTCTTTTTCCCAGTTATGATGGAATTCTATTGTGACGTACAATTTGTCTTCTACACCAAGTAAGAGCCGAAGATACTTGCTTGAAACAAGACAGTAAAAGATCAAGAATCTTAACCGGAGGAAAGAGGTACGATTTCACTCGTGTAATTTCTATTTGCATGCTTTCGGATTATGTCTGTTATCGCAGTTATCGTGCGTGATTTAATTCAATTCTAAAATAGTACTTCCGTGTACGCTTGTACATGTCGGCTGATTGCACCGCAATAGCACATGTTACAAATAGTTTTTCTAATCGTTCGTAATATGAGTTTATGTCGTAAATTACCTTTCAGTTCTTACGTTTTCAAGTACCTCATTCAAGAATATCCCCAATAATAAAGATTTCGATTTAATACAAAAGATAAGTGCTCGAGATCAGTAGGTCTCCACCTCCGAACAAGATATGTTTGTTTAAGAATCCAAACCCGCTACAAGCATCATTATTGTTATCAAATTGCTTGTTGTTCTTGCCATAATTGTGATACAATGTGTTCCCGAAAGCAACCTGTGTGTTTTCTCACGATCAAAATGAACTCATAAGTTTTATCCAGATGTAATATTGACTCACCAAAAAAGAAATGTAAAGTTATCCCAAACCACAGCTCAAGAAAAGAAACTTAGAAAAAAGACAAATAGGCATAATTTCAACTCTTGAATGAAACCAATAAATTTATAAATGCGTATTTAACATTAAAATTCGTGGTTGAATTATTTATGGTTCTATTTCAGCAAAAATCGAATTAAAGGTTTCAAAAAAATATGAAAAGAGAACAATTTACGAAAAAAGGGCAAACCATCCTCCATACTCCATTGAGTAAATCTAGAGGAAACGGCTACAAAGATTGAAAATAATGATATTATTGTACGATTTTAACTAGCTATTTGGCTATAGCTAAAAAGAATGGGTGCTTGAAAAATCAAGGCTCCTTGGGGTTACCTCACGATCATATCTCTTGATATTCAGTTTTTTTAAAAAAAATGTTGTGTAGTGAGAACTTTCTCAACTCCTTTGCCATGCCATGTCCTTCCACTGGCTCGTGGTATACCCCAATTAAACCATATGCACAATAACAATAGACAAGATAAGGTTTCAAGTTTTATTTGATATGCTTATAAATTGACGATCAAACAGTACAAAGTACTGGAGGATAATGATGACCAAATTGAATTTAATGTGATGGAAGAAATGAGAACGTAATAAGATTTAATGCATCTATCAATTCGAAGCTTCAACATCCTTCCCTCTAAGGTAAGCCTTGGGGCATTTGAACTTTGATAATTGGTTTGTTGAAATTCCATCTCGTGACAGTTTTCGGATGGCGGGCAATCTTTAAGTAAACCCGAGAGTAAGGAAGAGAATCATTTATCGACCTCCGAGATACGTTATTAGCCAAACGATTTATGATTCACTAACAATCTTTTTTTTCAGGATTAACTTTTTTAAACTTCTTCTCTTAATTCGTAATTAGTTATGACTCCCTAGTTTTAAACATCAATAATTCCTTCCAATTTAACCGCTGTAAGTCAAGACACGTTTGTCTCTTCAAATATTTATTTTTGAGTAAAACTTAGAGGCTTTTAAAACGCTTTGAACATAAAGAAAGAAACTGCAACTAAACAGCTCCTGATCTAATTATTGATTTGTAATACCAGCGTTCTGTTTAGCTGAAGGTAAGGATTGATTGCTTTTTTCTTCACGCAACAGAACAAGTGGCTCGTTGATATGGCGGAAGTTTGGCGAGCGAGTGTGAGAGCGAGTACAGGGAAAGACTGGGGAGACAATTAAAATTGTCCTAGGGGGTGAACGATGGTCAAAACATAGGACAGATGGGGCAATATAAGTTCTCACCTTTCCCCGGTCCCTCACCTCACCGCCCATTTTAAATCAAACATGGTCGGTCTAATGGACGATCGCGAGCTTGTAACGTTAACTCGCCCCAACAAGACGCCTGCACTGTAGGCTAATATAAAGGCGATTTACTTTCAATTTTTGACGCCTCTTTTCACTCAGGATTTTAAATGAGTACCAGCAAACGGTTACAGAAACTTGCTGGGGTTTAGGTGTAAATCGACAAATTAAATACCATTGACGCGAGAAGGGAACTTACACATTCAGATACAACAATCTTTGCGCTTGAATGTGGTGTTTGAAAGTGGGCAGAAATTGTGTGTAAATAGGATAAGAAAGACAATAGATTTTCAATTGAGAACGGTAAAGATGTAGAGAAAGTGATATCTTTTGTCTTGTCACGAGCGTGGGACGAAGAATAAATTCTGATTCCCCAGGTGGAGTCGAGTTTCAAACCTTCGGATTCCATCGGTACGCGGTATCCGACGGTTTCGCAAATGTTTTTCTTTTAGCTAGAATTGAGCAAGATCCACAGTTACTGTACGAACTCTTTGACATCCCTTCTCAATAGCAATGATATAATATAGCAGGACTGATAGGGAGCTTTTTTCCTCAACAGATTTAATTTCGAGGTCAAGATGCAGCTCCGTGACGTTGAGACCGAGAAACAACGTGTAACACCATGTGTTCTCTTAGGGCTCCTTTGTATGTTTTTGGGAGGCATTTGCCTCACAGGATATTTCCTGACTCCTGGTGGCTCTGCACCTAATCCTAATGATCCTGCTTCTGACGAAAAATATCATTTCAGTAACAAACCGCAAGCCCTACCATTTGGCATAGCTTTTATGTCGATTGGATTCTTACTCCTTCTTGGTGTCGTTCTTTGCCAGAACGAAGGTGCTGATTGTTAAAGAAAACCAACCCTAACCTCATCCTACAAATACAGTATATTTTTTGGAAAAGTAATTTGTGTGTTTAATTCACTTATTGCAATTACATCGTTAAGAATCGTACTAAAAAATATCTGTAACCTATTAAGTGAAGTTACCCTTGAAGTTGTATTATCGGATGACAAAAACTAACTGATCACAAAGCAATTGAGTCGGGTTAACGGAAGAGTCAATAACTAAAATATGGAGTTTTACAAGGACTTTGTTTTGGTAGAGATAACTTCAGTTCTGTGTTGGTAGCCCTCAAATGGTCCAAATAAGACATAAACATTCCAAGTATCTCTTGGGAGAATCTGAAATAAGGTTAAAGATATCACAGAGCAAACAATTGCAAATCAACCATCTGGAGAGACATTAAAACCGCATTGCTGACTCGCAGCGACACCATCAGTGCTCCTCCTCAAAGGAAAAAGGGCCTCCTATCATTGTTTTCTTTTTTACTCTGGGGAGTCCCCTGGCAAGCCTCGATTTCGTGTAATAGACCCAGTTTCCTTGGCTCCCGCATGGCACGCCGTCAAGCATATTGAACTTGCGCTTTCATAACGGCTGACGGAACGGGAGTTCGTAATTCTCTATGTTGGAGTCACTTGCACGGCGTATGTTAATTCCAAGATTTGTGTTTTGTATGATAATGATGATATAGACCCGGGTGCTTTATTCGAACAACTTTCAACTCAGCATTGATGACACGGTCGAGTAAGTCCCAGTCCTCTCCGCCCCATTTGTAATTGTAGTCCTTGGTGTTCATTCCTATAGAGAGTATATATGACTACATGAGATTCAAGAGGTTTCCGTTTACCAATTGAAAAAAAATCCAAGGATTCACAACTTTAAATGTACTTCAAGAGATTAGATTAGAGACTTATAATAAGTTTTTTTTACAGTTAAGTTCAAGGTAGTTGCTTTTCGTATAATTTCTCTGGCCTAAAAAAGCACTTGCCTAAATAGAATATCTTGCTATGCAGCTGAATGAAAATCGAGGGGTGAATTTGTGCATGTTGCATGTCAGTTCTAGGAACTGATGAAATTATGATCAACATTGATTTAAAGGAGCATCAACTGAAAACTGATGTTTTTTTTACCTCCGAACCTCATCCAGTCTGATTTATAAATGCTCAGTAAGCCAAATCCTTCCATTTCCCAATAACCTTTATGATCTACATACGTACTGCCACAGTGTAACCGGCCTACAATGGGAGCGTAAACAAGATGTCCTTCGACGGTGTTCTGCAAGACAAAGAATTGTTATTAAAGCTAGAAATGAGGACCGTAGAAACAAATTATGATTAAATCAATGTAAATAAAAAAAGATTAGTGAGATGTATTTACATCAGATAGACTGGAGCAGTCTACGGCGACGTCCACCGTGCGAGTAAAAAAAAACAGCACACGATACGATAGCGCGCCACGCGGAACCTTGGAGTGACACCCACGAACTCCTAGGCTTCTCTCGGACGCTCTAACTAATTTTTTTTACTAATTTTTTACTCGCGCGACGGACTTCGCAGAAAAGCAGGGACTGCTTGTAATCAAGCATCAAATGGCACACCAATCTAAAGGCAAGCGTCCCGTATAAAGGTTTACTAGTACCAGTTCATAACACTACAATCGATATCCGCACGACACAATAAAGTTCGCGAGATTGATCTATAACATAAATACTAAATAAATATATAGATTAACGAGTATATAATCATTACTCAAATCAAAGATAGAAACTCACCTTACGAACGCTGTCCAATATGTCCAAGGGAACGTCGATATGGAGATCAAACAAAAACAAAACGTCATGTATACTTGGAATATGCTCAACAGCTTTGTTCAAAGCCAGCGTCTTGTAAAATTTCCCTTTTAATGGAATAATCGTGTGTCTGTTATGAAGAAGAGTGGTGTTAAATGCCTTTGTCATGTCAATATCCTCGCTTTCAAAGTCAACAACAATGACATGAAAGTTCGTATCGCCCGTTAAAGAGCTGGCTATTGTGATTTCGTTTATAAAATGATACACCCATCTTCCTTGTTCCTTGACAGGGAGAATAAAATACACTTTAGCTTTATTGTTCCAGCTAATACCTCGAGGAAAACACAAGTTGTGGTTGGCATCCTTACCAAGTACATGCTCTGATAAACGAAATGATTGACTGACGTCTTGTAAACCGAGCTCAAGATCTACAGAATAAAGATCGCCATGAACTGGACCTGGGATGTTTAAAACCTTGTGAATTCTCTTCAGAAAATATTTCCTAGAAGTAAATCAAAGAATGATATCAGTTTGATAGTGTAATGGACTTCATTGTATGTAATGTGTATCTCTAAAACAACCTTGGTTTCCAGGAATTTTTTCCTCTCCCAAGATGGAGGGAGTAACTTGGGAAATCGAAATTAAGCCAGTTAATGAATGACATACACACACTTCTTTGCATGTGATTGGCTCTGGTCTTAAAGCACCAGTTCCAAACTCAGCCCGAATGGTTACCTAGCAAAATACATTATTTTGCTGACATTTCAGCATAGCGTATCATAATAATGGTCTACAAACATGATTAATAGCATAAGAATAACGATATTTGCATTCCACTAAGCATGAATTTTGAAAGACGTTAGTCACGGTTTGGGGGTCTTTGTCAGGGCTCCAAGCTCAACGCCTTTCAAAGTCGTCATTTGACGACCACGAGTCATAAAGAGAACATCAACTGTTGATATTCTCTTGGAGTCATAGAATGGTCGCTGAAAAAAAAAAAAAAAAAAAAGGAAGAACAATTTTCGCCCTGGAAAAGGAAAATGTGCAGTATTATGTGCAGCTCTACTGCTAACCACAAAGCAGACTGGTTGTGATGTAATTAAGCTTTACGAGACATCTTGCCCAACCGTAGAGAAATAACTATAACATCGTATGCAGATGTTGAACTCACTTTCATTTTAAACCGAAAGCACCAGGTGATTCAGGTCGTCAAATTTGCGACTGCTACAGCAACTCTACTCGCCTAAATTTTTCACTACACGCCTCGGCAACCAAAAGGGTTGCGGCCTGGAGCACTATTTTTCATTTGCAATCCGTGCGAATCATGGCCTGTTTTTTAAACTTTTTTTTCCTTCTTAATAGACTTTTATCGTTACGTAGCGCATCCACAGTAGTTCACGAATTTTTTGGCATTTGCTATATTGTTGATAGTTTAATTTTTAGGTCAACTTACTTTGAGGTTTTATGGTTTAACGACGTAATTATCTCATCCGTGACTGCATGAATTTTGTCCCCGTTAGCAATTTTGTTGGGCCAGATTCGCAAATTTTTATAAGTCAACGCACTGCTATCATCAGCAGGGTAGACGCTGGATAACTGCACCGCTTTGCGGCCTTGATAACGATACACTTTCCCTCCATTTGACAAAGAGTTAGACTGGAAATCACACATGGGAAGATAACTATCTTTTGGGAGCAACGGAAGTGATTGAAATTGTAATCGTTTATGATCTGTTGATTTAGATTTCAGCTCAAGATCTTGACGATAGCTCTCCGAAAGGAAACTATGCAAAACATCTTTTGCTTTGGTGATCATAACATCGTCTGCATGGGACGATAAGTACTCCGAACTGATAAGGTAGAAATCGCTATCACTGCGACGCTTCCAATAAACTTGTACAAAACCAAGATCAACTCCTTGCTTATGCACAACTTCTATGTAGTATTTTCTGTCTCCAGAGAGCATTAGATGTTCTGAGATTTGCCCGGGATATTTGTGAAGTTCATCCTTTTTCGTCCACGCACTTACTCCTTCTTTAAAAACACGTGCAATTAACTGTTTCTCGTTCGGATCATCGCTAGGACTGAGCCATAACTCTGACTCGTCATCAGAGGCTATGGCGAAGTTGTATTCGTCGCTGTGAGGAGGATGGAGGAAGCCAAAAATCCGTTGGCCATAATCGATGGTACTGTCGATAATTTGAAACTTAAGCATATTGAGCTTCATGAACATTTCGTCAGGATAATGCGGAAAAAGCAAATATTGACGCAGATTTTGGATGCTTGAGCCACAAACCTCTCGCCATACGTGAATATTCAGAGCACCCATAGCGCCGGTGAAACGGCGTGGTGTGCCGTTTGTAGTAGTCATTGTATCATTTTTTACCGCGACATGGACAGCGTCATACGTTTGTGAATGGTGCAACGTATTGAAGATATAAAAGAAGATTGAACAGAACATTAAAGCGAAGAGCATGACCTTTAACGGTTTTCGAAATTGCTTATGGCGGAATTTAAATTTTGCGAAGGCAATGAAACGGAAGAATCCATGTGTCCTCATGCTTTCTCGCTCAGTTTTAAGCTGACCGGGTAGCTACTATAAATCAGCAGACGATCGCAAGAGCGGGTAATCTTGTCGTTAAATGCTTATGGAAGAATTCGTCATAAAGTTCCCAGAGCTCTTATGTGCCAATATTGTCAGTTCCGCTTGAGTATTTAAATGAGATGAAATAATGCGGGTATCAGCGGCCATCCCAAGGGGTCGACCCACGGGCTTAGCAGGGGATTTGTAGCAAAGGCATGCCCCGCACGCGGGGCATTAGAGCGCTTTTGCGTTTTTGGCAAAATACCCCGGGGCCATACCCACGGGATTTGCACGTAATCTGCTGTCTCAACGTTCAGCGGTTTTCGCCACAGGACAAGCAAGCTCGTTCGCTATGTGCGTTTGACAAATCGGGAAATCTTGGCGTCTTTTATTTGTCCTTTGCAGTTTATTTTCCTGTGTACCATGGTCAAGTATTGTGCTGTTGCTCTGTGCCGTAATGGGAGTAAGAAACGACCTGATCTCAGTTATTTTTGCTTTCCTACAAGGCCCAATGAGCGTAAGAAGTGGGAGGTTTTCTGTAAGCGAGCGGATAAAAAATTCAAGACTCTCGGCGATCCAAGAATCTGTTCATTGCATTTTAAGGAAAGCGACATCGAGATTTCAATTTCATACGGTTAGTTCGCATTCGAAGCGTCTTGCCGATAGGAAGAGACAGTGTGATGAACAACCGCAAGCCAAGAAAGTTTGCCCCAGAAAGCTCGAATTTGAGGACTCCATAGAGACTTGTGTGGATTTTAGTGCTGATGTGGCTTCAACACCGACTATATGTTGCCCAGGTTGCTCCAGGGTGGGGGTATTTGTCCCAATTTTTTGCCCTACCCGAGGGGCTTTAGCATGTATTTGTCACGGCAGCTGTGACAAATGCCCCTGGGTGCCCGGGGGTCGACCCCTCGGGATGGCCGCTGATACCCGCATAAGTTAAACTATATTAACCGGCGGGTGTCAGATCCAATAATTGTTTATTCAATCACAGGCAGCCCAAGCTCACGTCTCGAGAAAAAGCAAACGGTTAATTCATGAAAGTGTCACGCGTTGTGTGACTCGGTGTTACGAGAGGACCCGTTGAGAATTTGAACGTTATAAGGAGTAGTATGGGGAACGATATATGGTCGATTTACAAAGATGAATATTTCCAAATATGAACATTTTACACGTAAAATCAATAACACTTATTCACATCTTGTGTGTACGCGGCGATTTCTGGCGATTTCTGCCGTTTAAGCTTGTTTTTCCCACAGGTGGCCCAAGCTCCAGCTGTGAGATGATCATCTTGCACAATAATAGTCATGGCGGAATTATAAGAGTTTGTATGAGAATATTTACGACCGCTCTTAGGAATAAAATAATACGTCAAATTCTCAATAAAAATACCTCACCTTACTTTCACAGCGTATCACTTGTTATCTGACCGTTTACTTTGATGAAAAGAACCCATTTTAGCGAGTCGTCCATTTCGAGGTTTTCAATGTACATAAGAAAGGGCTTTTCTGACTGTTATTGTGCAAGATGGTCATCTCGCAGCTGGAGCTTGGGTGTTGTTCCTTACAATGTGTTGAATTAAATTTGAATTTTACGTTTTCGACGCTGTTTTTTTTATCACCCTTGGATCGTAAGGAAGTTGTCCTAACTGACGGCTCAGGCTATTCATGAGCAAGTCTTGAAACTCCGGCTTGGCGTTCCATCAAGAAACTATTCCATTTCGAGATATTTAATTAGTTCTTGTTATTTTTTCAGGTGGCTTGACAGATCATATGAATACCGTAATTTTCTCGATCTGACGAGGGACTCCGACGAAACACCGGCAATGCATAAACGTTGGAGTACGCTATATCAGTTGAACATGGTCCTGCCCTTTAAATTTGACCTACTTGCGGTCTTTCTGACAAGTGACTAAACTCTCTTAATTTCACTCCTGCGACGCAATGGTATTTCATTTGTTTAAATTTTACACAAAGATTTTTTTCGAAACTTTACTTTTCTTGTTTTTAAACAAGAAAAGTAAGAATCATCTGAAAAGACCCTGCGGCAATAGTTTCTGGCGGTTGAGTTTATTGCTATAAGACCTTTTTGAGAGAGCATCAAAAAGCGGTCTTCGTTTGCGAAAAAGAAAATTCAGCTTTGTTGGAGCACACGTGCCTAACTAACCATACAGTTGAGTGGGATGAGTCTAAAGTTATCGCCACTTATTGACGCACGCCGTCAAGCATATTGAACTTGCACTTTCATGACGGCTGACGGAACGGGAGTTAGTAATTCTCTATGTTGGAGTCACTTGCACGGCGTATGTTAATTCCAAGATTTGTGTTTTGTATGATAATGATGACTAATGATTATGACTAATGATTATCGTTACGTAGCGCATCCACAGTAGTTCACGAATTTTTTGGCATTTGCTATATGGTTGATAGTTTAATTTTTAGGTCAACTTACTTTGAGGTTTTATGGTTTAACGACGTAATTAGCTCATCCGTGACTGCATGAATTTTGTCCCCGTCAGCAATTTTGTTAGGCCAGTTCCGCAAATTTTTATAAGTCAACGCACTGCTACCATCAGCAGGGTAGACGCTGGATAACTGCACCACTTTGCGGCCTTGATAACGATACACTTTCCCTCCATTTGACAAAGAGTTAGACTGGAAATCACACAAGGGAAGATAACTATCTTTTGGGAGCAACGGAAGTGATTGAAATTGTAAGCGTTTATGATCTGCTGATTTAGATTTCAGCTCAAGATCTTGACGATAGCTCTCCGAAAGCAAACTATGCAAAATATCTTTTGCTTTGGTAATCATAACACCGTTTGCATGAGATGATAAGTACTCCGAACTGATAAGGTAGAAATCGCTATCACTGCGACGTTTCCAGTAAACTTGTACAAAGCCAAGAGCAACTCCTTGCTTATGCACAACTTCTATGTAGTATTTTCTGTCTCCAGAGAGCATTAGATGTTCTGAGATTTGTCCGGAATATTTACGAAGTTCATCCTTTTTCGTCCACGCACTTACTCCTTCTTTAAAAACACGCGCAATTAACTCTTTCTCCTTCGGATCGTCGCCAGGACTGAGCCATAACTCTGACTCGTCATCAGAGGCTATGGCGAAGTTGTACTCATCGCTGTGAGGAGGATGGAGGAAGCCAAAAATCCGTTGGCCATAATCGATGGTGTGGTCGATAATTTGAAACTTAAACATATTGAGCTTCTTGAACATTTCGTCAGGATAATGCGGAAAAAGCAAATATTGACGCAGATTTTGGATGCTTGAGCCACAAACCTCTCGCCATACGTGAATATTCAGAGCACCCATAGCGCCGGTGAAACGGCGTGGTGTGCCGTTTGTAGTAGTCATTGTATCATTTTTTACCGCGACATGGACAGCGTCATACGTTTGTGAATGGTGCAACGTATTGAAGATATAAAAGCAGATTGAACAGAACATTAAAGCGGAGAGCATAACCTTCAACGGTTTTCGAAATCGTTTATGGCGGAATTTAAATTTTGCGAAGGCAATGAAACGGAAGAATCCATGTGTCCTCATGCTTTCTCGCTCAGTTTTAAGCTGACCGGGTAGCTACTATAAATCTGCAGACGATCGCAAGAGCGGGTAATCTTGTCGTTAAATGCTTATGGAAGAATTCGTCATAAAGTTCCCAGAGCTCTGATGTGCAAATATTGTCAGTTCCTTTCGAGTATTTAAATTAGATGAAATAAATTATATTAACCTGCGGATGTCAGATCCAGTAATTGTTTATTCAATGTAATTTCAGTCATTTAAATTGGATATCATACTCTGCGTGGACACTTATAAATCTTTTTTGAAAATTAAATGATATTTAAATCTGTATTAATATTTTACGTTTTCGACGCTGTTTTTTTATCACCCTTGGATCTTAAGGAAGTTGTCCTAACTGATGGCTCAGGCTATTCTTCATTAGCAAGTCTTGAAACTCCAGCAAGAAACTATCCCATTTCGAGATATTTAATTAGTTCTTGTTATTTTTTCAGGTGGCTTGACAGATCATATGAATACCGTAATTTTCTCGATCTGACGAGGGACTCCAATGAAACATCGGCGATGCATAAACGTTGGAGTACGCTATATCGGTTGAGCATGGTCCTGGCTTTTACATTTGACTTACTTGCGGTCTTTCTGACAAGTGACCAAACCCTTTTAATTTCACTCCTGCGACGCAATGGTGTTTCATTTGTTTAAATTTTACACAAATAGTTTTTTAAAAACTTTACTTTTCTTGTTTTTAAACAAGAAAAGTAAGAATCTTCTGAAAAGACCCTGCGGCAATAGTTTCTGGCGGCTGAGTTTATGGCTGTAGGACCTTTTTGAGAGAGCATCAAAAAGCGGTCTTCTTTTCTGAAAAAGAAAATTCAGCTTTGATGGGGCACACATGCTTAACTAACCATACAATTGAGTGGGATGATTCTAATTATCACCACTTATTGACGTTACCACCAGCGCCTTTGTTTGGAAGCCTGACATATCAGCTCCACCCACGCTCCTTAAAATCGTGATGATGGCGGCTTTCCACCTGGGGCTTATTTACACCTCGTCAGGAAAAAGGGCAGCTAATTTGTGAGCATATTAAATGACCTCTTGTTACAACGATTAGACTCCTGATGAAGGCACTAGACAGGACAGTAGGAAACTTTGGGTCTATGAATTGTAACTTCTCGGTTACATTCATTAAATCTTTAAACCAGAGTAGGCATCAAACCATGGGTGATCGTCCTGTAAGATTTTACGCTGTTCACCAACGGCGTGATTTTCTCCAGTCGGTGATAATTTTACGCCGTTAACATACTTTTACTATGTATTAATTTAGTCAATACATATTGACGTTACCCCGCTACCAATATACCTATTTTTATCACCTTCCCCTTCGTCTCGTAGGGGAACAAATTGAAAGAACAACAGAATACTGCATTCCACTGGCTAAGGCTTCGATTCAGCGCTGGCAGGAGTGACAGCGTATACTTGAAACGACGGGTTCACCTGGTCACAGGTTCGAAATGAACACTGGGAGCGTTTAATTGCAAAAATATGATACAAAATGTGAAGTAAGTCACATCAGTGTACATTACAATGATTACCTAGAGAGCTTTTCAGCGCCACAGAAGAAAGAAAAGCTTCTAGGGGTGAAAATTGCGGAAAACTGAAAATTCACCGTAGCAGGTAGCCAGAGGCCAATTAACTGCTGTCTGACCCACGCCACGTTGCTCAAGAACCCTTCATTTGCGTTTGGCAATGCGGTACTAGGTAGAACACACATTTTTTCATTTTGAAAGTGACAATTACCGCCGTTGAATAAATAAGTTGCGGGTAATAGTGGGGTGTGAAAATTAAAAAGATCGAAACGTAAACTCCCTGACAAGGTTAAGCACCAGTGAAAGAGAGGGTTAACAGGTTAAAACGAAAACAGCTCATTTAACAATTCAAGCGTTAGGCCTGTCCACAGCTCATTACAAAAACCGTGAAATGCTGTGCGGCCTAGAACTGAGGGTAAGAACACAGAAACCCGCAATCAATATAAACTTGATTATCAACCCTTGCCGGCAAGTGTACTTATGTTAATTCGGGTTGGACAACTTGAGGTTGCTTTTCTGAACAGATGGTAAATGATATCTCTTTGTGATGGAAGAGATAAAACACAACTTGTCCAAAATTTATCAACTGTGGTGCAATTTCTAAACAAAACAGTTGAAAGGAAATTTTTTTCGATCAACAATGGACAATGTAAAGAGAACATGTACAGTTGACTCATCTGGCTCGGACTCCGAAATCGATCCTGTCCGAAACAAGAATGAATTGAGCCAACTAATTGGAGACGATCGACCATTTCACATACTTGCCTTTGGGGTGTTTGGTTTCATCCTCCAGATTTTTTTCTCCATTGGAATCTCGGCATCTCAAGACATCTTGGAAGAAACTTTACTACCCACTCCTGTTTTGTTAATCTCTGCCTCGCTGCCTTTCTTCGTAATTACCTCTGTCTTGCCGTGCTTCGTTTTAAAGTTGTCTCACAAAGCTCTTCTGGTGCCAGTAGTAGGGCTGGGTATCACCGGCGTGTTGTTATACGCTCTGGTTGAGGCCGTATTTCTTCGGGTCACTGGAGTCATCGTGGTGTCCACTGGGGTCGCCATTGGCGAGGTCACTTTCGTCTCGATGACTGCGTTATACAGCGATACGGCGATGAGTTCGTATTCAGCGGGGACTGGCGTTGGTTTCATTGCTGGGCCCTTGTACTACACCGGTAAGAAATCCGGAAAAAAATCAATGAAAGGCAAACAAAGGTTGACGCCTATGTTTGGTTAGATTCTAAGCCTAGTATGCATATTCTGTTGGCGTGCGAGTCGATTGAACCCCAAAAAAGTCAACGAACCTTTTTTTTTATTCTTATCTATTTATTTATTTAATTTTTTTCAAACAACGATCAATGGTTTTGGTTGAGATACGAACAGGCCAGGGTATGAAATTATTTCAGTGGCACCGTCACAAAAATCAATCATATTTTTTAAAATCTCGCTTCCAGAAACTTGGTTAAAATAATTCACCTCGACTAGCTTTTCACCCAAAGGTTGTGGCCATGATCTTATGGAAGAAATAATTCATTTGTATCACCTGTCCTTTGTAGCTGATTATGAATCAATCAGATTCGAAAGAAAACGTTCCGACCAAATTCAAATTGTTTTGAATTTTTTAACCTTTTTTTTGCTTCAAAGAAGGCGATAGAACATCATAAAGTTAATTTGTCATGGAATTTATTTTTGTGATAAACTAGTTATGAATTTTCCAATACTCTTCAGTGGATTGAAAAATGAAAATGGAATTTCTTTCATACAATAGATTGATGAATAGAGTGAAAAACTTATATTGTTCTTCTTTTTCTGGCGCGATTGTTTTTACCAAAGCTTTTTTCATCTCCAAACCAGTCCAGCAGTTTACAGCTGTGTTGGTTGCGGTTCAAGTGGTGTGATTCTATCACTAAGTAAATCTGTTAGATAATTTTGTGCACTGCAAGCTTATATTTACCAATCTAACGTACAGATAGCGCTAACCGCATCAATTGTTGTGCAGGTGCTATTAAACATTGTCTCTTTACGGTCTGTGTGATAGAAAAAAAGCGAAGTACTGGGTCCAAAGTTGAAGATAAGAGCCTGCATTGTAGGTGTTTTGGGTCAGCTTGATTCAGAATCTGCACTGTGTCGCCACATGCTAAAAATTATCCAAAAGAAACCAAATGAAAACCTTTTTTTACATTCATATCTGAAATGAAATTTCCAATTTGATGCGAAAAGTTTTAAAATTGTTATTTTGAGAAAGCATTTTAGTTACTTTTTTCCCCCCAAATTTTTGAAATGAGGCACTCTAAAAGCACTTGGTAAAAAAGCTCGAAGAAATTCTCTTTTTTTCACGCACCTCTTACTTTGATCTTTTCGTAATAATTTATCCAATTAAAAAATGACGAAGCCCTTCTCTTCTAATTGTAATGTTTTTTTTTATAGCAATGACAACTTTAATTTGCCTGCCTCCGGAAACGACTGTCCTTATCATTTCTTGGATGCCTGCAGTTATCTTTCCTTTTTACATCACAATAGAGAGGAGACGTTTCAAGCCACAGGGAGACATGATAAACCATAAAGAAGTCTCTTATACCGTACTTACCCCTGAAAATTTGCCAGTGAAAGATAACCCATCTTGCAAAGAGAAAAAAACGTTAATCTGGCAAAACTCACACCTTATGTTGGCCTGTTTCGTGGGTTACTTTTCTGAGTTTTTGACTCTCAATGGCGTTGTTACAACTCTGGCCTTTCCAAACTCTTTTTTCGATCCGAGGAACCATTTTGTTTACTACGCATGTGTGTTTATGATCGGAGAATGCATCGGTAGATCTTACCTAAGTATCCTGTTCATTGTTAACTCAAAATGCACGCCTGTTATTGCAAGAACATGGATTTTATCTGCAGTGCTTTTGGGTTTGTTCATTTTCTTAACGTTAACGTCGTGGTATCGCTTTCTCCACAGTGTCTGGATTGTTTTATTACTCATTTTTAATATGGGGCTTTTGGCAGGAAGCCTTTACCTCAATACGTTTCTTGTGGTCACCGGCGGTGATGACGTCCAAGGCAAGGCGTTTTCGCGCGCTTTTCTCTCGCTTGGACCTAGTACCGGTGTCTTGATGGCAGGCTTAGTTGGACTCGTACTGGAACCAACTTTAAGAGAACACTGTTTGCAATCAACAGAATTAAGAGAATTTTGTTTTACAAGGTCAATGGGTGGATGGAATAAATCCACATCATGTTTGCGGTAGTTAAAAAATTTTAAGAGAGGTTGTCAGTAATTTTTGAGAAGCCGGCGACAGAAGCAAAAATTCAACTGTTTTTTTATTTGCTCCAAAAGACCCTTTTGGTGAATCGTTTTTAAAAATAATACTCAAAAGTTCCAGCGAGTTTTTATTTTGGAAAAAAAATACGAAAGTTCGAAATCGGCCAAAACGTACCTAATTTGCATAATTTCTATTGGGCTTTCAGTGCATTTTCACAACGCTCGTACAAGACAAAGAAAAATTATCTTGGATTCATTTTTTCATAAGTTATTTTTCATCCCTCGGAGTAGCTTTGCAACTATATTTCATTTCTAACTGAACTTTCTTTCGTTTGTAACCACCCGCGTGAAATACACTATATTTTCTATTCCGTTTGTACGCTGAATTTTGCTATATTTCAGACGACCATAACATCGGGGGTAAACGAAAGTACATAAAATAAAAGAGCTCTTTTCAACGAGAAATTATTCATGTTTATCATGTAAAAATATTATTTTTGGCCCGTGAAAAGCGAGCACGCTAGACCAAAATATATAGCGTGCATTTTCACGGAGTTAGGCCATTTTTCTTGCTGTACTCCTACTGTAAATCGCACGCTATTGGGACAAAACTCGATGTGTTTGGTCTCTACTTCAGTTTTGATTCACTTAAATATATCAATTTCAACTTAAAAATTAACCTACCTTTATTTTTAAGTGAACAAACCACCGTTTTAGGTAAAGTATTTGAGTTGACTTTTCTCGAGTGCTAAATAAACAAATCGCTGTTTACAAAGATACCAGCTCTGTCGATGTGTTTTTAGCTGAAAAATCGATGGGAAAATCGTAGCGTTTCTTTCTCCTGTTGTTTATTACTTTAAAGATTTGCTAAAATCAGGAAATAGGGCACTTGTACAAAACCAAAACATTCATTTGTCTACAATTTGATTGTTTATTATCATTATCATACAGTTCACAATAAGGAAACTGTAACAGGAGAGGAGACTTTAAATTCACATGCTGCGTGCTTGTTGACGTACAAGTTCCCGAGTATAACAATTTCGGCTTTTCGGGAAACTCTTCCCCCCTTATTTGATAGGAAATATCAATAGCCCCATAAAATTTATTAACTGCGCCATGTTTCCAGAAAATAAGACTGGAAAATGTTTTTTCCACTTTCCACCATCAAGAAATTCCATGTAGAAATAGTATTTGTAGCGTGACTGCATGACCTTTCATGAGAAGTAAAAATTGTTTTTCCTTTTTTTAAGAAGACACCTCCAGAAAGTTCTTTATCCTTCTCTCATCTTATTTGCCTGATTTTTTAATGCAAATATCATCTGCATTTGCCATTATTTTCGCTGATTGTCATGACCTTTCCTGCGTGCACGTGCGAGCAAGTTCATATACAGCACTCTTCCGAGTTTATTTGCGTGGTGTCGGGCATAAGCGGTGTAGGTCTGGCTCAAAAGATATCTGCGCGCTGCAACACGGGTTTCTATGTTTTCTCCTTTTTCTTTATTTGTATTTTTATTCTCCTCCTTGCATTATCACACATGTATGTTTTTTTTAATCCTTCGGCGCGTTCCCTTAGATTTGGAAGTAGGCTATGACTTGAAAAGTCAATATTGACCAGAACTGAAACCTTTTCTATCACTATTTGTTTCAAAGAACCCTTGTTATTTATAAGTTTATTTCTCAAGAGAATATGTTTTTATTTGCCATTTACTTCCATTAATACATGAAACTAGGTTCCAATAAGTTTTTTTGTTTCGTGACTCCCAAAAGCTGTTTGCGACAACATCAGTTGAGGAATCAAAAGCAATTACACCTGAGTAATTCGCTTGTAGCCTTCTACGCGCAGAAGGCAAATCCAACTAATGAAGCTTTCTAAGACCTCTGTAAACTAGAGACATTACGTGATGTCGAGGGGTCAAATATTTACACTAAATCTGTGACCCTCAAACAGATTACGTACTCGTATATGTAACGTCCGAAAAATGTCACGCATGTATAACACCGTAGGCGCACCTGGCGAATTATATCCACTGGCTTCAATAGTAAATAGACAACTTATTTACTATTTGTATATGAGCAAGCTTATTTACCCTACTTGTAAAACTCCTTGATGAAGTCTACTATTGTCAGACGAAACGCGTGGGAGATAAATACAAGTTTTTACTTTCTCAGTTCGTGCAGTGAGTTCGACAGAAAAATTAAGCTCACTCTGTCATAATCAATGATTTGATCAAGTAAGTACCAAATTAGGTACATCATTGGGCTTTGATCACAATAATGAAAAAAATGTGCGTTTCTCCACGCTCGCCACATTTATTCTTTGGAAAATTATTTTACTGGAGGGCGATGTCACTTAGCTTGGTGCGTCTTGACTCTGGCCGACGAAAATTATCGAGGTGAACCCATGAAATTCTTGTCAAATGTTTCATAAACTTTGTCTACCCTGGATATGCACGCAATAAAAGGCAAATTCCGAACGATATTTCAAAATATTTTATTCACTGGTCAATTTATGAACTGTTTTATAACAACCCGAGGAAAAAGCAAAATTGTTTGTAAGGAGTTTGTACGTTCATTTTTCTCAGTAAATTTAAAGGAGGGTCAATTTTTTGTGACAGCCAAAGATAGACATCTCTGAAAAGTCTCTGAAACTCTTAAAGAATTTACACTGCCGGTAATATTTTCCTCCTGCTCGCAACAGCGCAACAGACATTGTTAATCCTATGTAGTGTAGGTTTATCAGTTGTATTACGTCTTCATAGTGATGCCGTATAAGAAATCGAGTGTCTAAAAGGCTCTCAATTCTCGCGCTGGCCAGGGACGGCAACAGCTCACACCTCTAAACTCGTGGGTGTACAACATAAAAAAAAAAAAAAAAAACATTTGAGAGACGTCAATGTATCCCAAACATGCGTTTCGTCCGAGAAGAAGCTTATTCTAGCGCGTATTGGCTTATTTGGAGATTACGAAGGCCGCGATTTCACGATATATCTCAAATATAGTGCACAACTTGGTATGAGATTCAGACCTTCGGATTTGTAAATGCCAGTATCCTCGTCATAAAAATCGTAAGTAAAGTTGAGAGAGAGGTGAATCTGAAGATGGCAGAAGAAATCAAAGCTGGTGGCGAGTCTTCCTGGTGGCAAGGTGACTGTAAACCTAATAGAACGCGTACTGTAACTGCTATCTTAGAGTCAGCAATGAATAAGGAAGAAGGGCAAGAAGAGCGCTTATCTGAACATCAGTTTTCCTAATGATTGTGACTGAAATGAACTTTATATCATATGATTGCTTGGGATACGCAGGTACTGTAGAGACGCTCACATAAATAAAGAATAATATAAAGAATTATCTCCTTGACATGAGCTGGACAGGGGAGGAAACTAGTAAGGCAACCGCCTCTAACTAGGCAGAAGATAAGGAGTGACCTTGCAAATTTAGACGAAGACTGCAGGAGAGGGTACAGCTGCTATTAAGCTAAAAAAAAATAATAAAGATCTTTGCATCTCACTTTTCAAAGTTGTCAAATATTTGGATGAATCGAAAAGTCTAAAAACTCAGTCGTTTATTTGCCTCTGTTGATTGACAAGCCGTCAATAAAATTGACTGATACTTGAGGTGGACATTAACTAAGGATCAAGAAAAACCGGGGGGGTGGTCTATATCCCCCCGGAAAAACCAAAACAGAAACCAGTTTGTCTTTTTTAGTTTTGGGGTTGATCCTTTAACCTCGGTGAGATGGAATGTAGCACGACTGCCCGGTGCTACATGCCATTTTTCTCGGATTTCTTCGACAATTTTTACCAACAGAATTCCAACCTACAGTTGATTTGAAAATGTATCTAAACAGGTGGACTACACAAACATACTATTTTAAGTACAGTGACAGTGGTAGCAACCGAGCAAAACACCGAGGTTCATGCACAATTAAGCGAGTATTTTCATGCGACAACTACATGTTTCGAATATTTTATGTGTGCGAAGATTTTATTTAGCTCACGCTAACGTATTTACAACAACATTTATAGTTACATGTAATTTACTCTAAAGTCATGCCAGTGAGAAAGATTGTAAATTAAAGAACAATATATGCGACGGACCAATTTCAGCTAAAAACACGTCGACAGAGCTGGTATCTTTGTAAACAGCGATTTGTGTTTATTTAGCACTCGAGAAAAGTCAACTCAAAAACTTTATCTAAAACGGTGGTTTGTTCACTAAACAATAAAGGTAGGTTAATTTTTAAGTTAAAATTGATATATTTAAATGAATCAAAACTGAAGTAGAGACCAAACACGTCGAGTTTTGTCCCAATAGCGTGCGATTTACAGTAGGAGTACAGCAAGAAAAATGGCCTAACTCCGTGAAAATGCACGCTATATATTTTGGTCTGGCGCGCTCGCTTTTCACGGGCCAAAAATAATAATTTTACATGATAAACATGAATAATTTCTCGTTGAAAAGAGCTCTTTTATTTTATGTACATTCGTATACCCTCGATGTCCTGGTTGTCTGAAATATAGCAAAATTCAGCGTACAAACGGAATAGAAAATATAGTGTATTTCACGCGGGTGGTTACAAACGAAAGAAAGTCCAGTTGGAGATGAAATATAGTTGCAAAGTTACTCCGAGGGATGAAAAATAACTTATGAAAAAATGAATCCAAGATAATTTTTCTTTGTCTTGTGCGAGCGTTGTGAAAATGCACTGAAAGCCCAATAGAAATAATGCAAATTAGGTACGTTTTGGCCGATTTCGAACTTTCGTATTTTTTTCCAAAATAAAAACTCGCTGGAACTTTTGAATATCATTTTTGAAAACAATTCACCAAAAGGGTCTTTTGGAGCAAGTAAAATAAAAGTTGAATTTTTGCTTCTGTCGCCGGCTTCTCGAAAATTACTGACAACCTCTCTTAACCATCTTATTTTTCTTAAGTCCTTTAACAGTTGAGGTTTCCGATTCAAATTTTTTTCATAAAACTTCTATAAAACATAAAATTATCAATTGCGTTTGTGAACGTCAATTGTAGTCTTGGAATAAGCTTTATCAACAGAAAATGATAGGTCCTATTACTTTCTCTTGGTCTTACGTCACAAATCAAGCATTCTAACGATACAGAAATTTCATTTAAATGAGTTTTCTACACACGAAAATTTTGCCCCAGTAGGTTAGGACCGGTCACTATTTATCGTCTTGAGGGGTTGAGGGCGGGGGAGTCGGAGGATTTTGGTTTTGTAACGATAAAATTCTCCTGATTCCCCCGTAAGGCTCAGTAATATTCTTATGAAACCCCCTGCTTTTTCTGTGGTCCCCACTAATACTCTATTAGTGACAACTGACCCCACCCTCCGTTTCCTCTAAAAAACCATGTGTCCCCCCCATTGTTTAACACACAATTTGCAAACCACACAATACCATAAAATGAAAAATTGAATATATTCAGTTTACTCTCAATTAAAACATTCTGTTACTAGTAGCGTTACTTTTTTCAAACAGCTTTTTAAATAGGAAGTAAATAAGATGGTTGCAACCAGATGTCCATAGTATATGCATGAGGCAAGTCAAGAATCTGACGTCCAAGAAGAAGAATACTGCTCTTGCTTCCTTGATTCCCATGCAAAACTGTCCGTTAAGAAGCTTCATAAACTTTCAACTTACTCCATGGCATTTTTTGTGATTGTCAACTTAAGTCTGGTTCTACAACTTGAAATACAAACCACGTTGCGTTTGTCACCCTGCGTGACACCTGGTGACTCAATGTCACGCAAGGTTACAATCACCCATAGCAGGACAATTACGTTTTCATGAAGTCGGAAAGTTCTTAACACTGCCGATATTTTTGACACTAAGATTTGAAAACCTTGACTTGCACAACACTGGCCAACTGACGACATACGTTTGTCAGCTGTCATGTTTGTTTTTTTTGTTTTGTTTTTTTTCTTGTAAATGTCTAATCAAGCTCACATGTACAAACCTTTTAAGTACAATTCCCTACCAGTCGTTTTTTAACTAATTCTTGTAAGGTCATTGTAAGACTAGCTTTCGTGTATTAATACCATCTGCTTTCCATAAGCGGCGCAATCTAGTTTCCATCTAATCCATCCATTGAAAAAGGTGCATTCTCCACAGTACTTTCATTATCACTGAACAAGTATAAACGAAACTACCTAAAATCTGATAACAAAAATCTTTAAAATAGTTTCATTATCTGAGCAAATGCACGCCTACCCCTCCCCCTAACCAAACATCAATCCTCAGTTGCTATCAGTTGACGGTTGTTGGGTTAGGGGAGGGGTGGGTAGGTACGCAGTTGTTCAGATACCGACATTAAGCCGATTTAGCAATACCCACAAAACGCATACACATTAAAAAAAAAAATCTTTTTTTCTAACGTCTGCAGCTTGCAGTATGCTTGATACAGCGCTTTAAATACAGTTTTGTTGTTAATTTTTTTTACGAAATTCACTCTGAGTTAGCTTCTTTGCGTCGTGTCCTTCATCGAGTACGCTCCTGCGTCATGTATTTCTTTACAGTGTCTCGCCTCATCCGCAAGCTTTTTTGTTGTTACCATTATATCGTTTAAATGTCAAGAGGGTCTAGAGAGGATGTTCTGTTGATCCGGAACATTCCGATGTTTACTGCAGAACAAGTCCAACCTTGAAAGAGGAAAAATAACCCTTAACAAAATTACGTAAAAGTCAGGTGTGTTTGTAGGATAACAATGTTCATACACCATCCAGAAAACAGTTGACGAGAATACTCAAATTTATCTGGTAAAGTTGGTATCTTGATCTAACACCAAATTCTCGTAACTTATTTACAAGGAGACGTGTGGCTGCTGGAGGAGAGAATTAACAATCATATCTTGGGACTTGGAGGTTTAATGCTGCCTTGAATAGTTTGGCAAGGAACGAATTTGAGTTTAACCGTAAAGATACCGAAGAAAGAAAAGTATGAGTAATTTTAGTCAGGTCGTCCCAGTTTTAAGTCCATCAAAGGTGTCGAGAGGAATCCATAAAAAAATTACGTTGGCACCGAAAAATGGGATCCATATATCTTGCAAAAATAATTTTCATCGTCAAACGTAGAGGAGTAGCAGAGAGGTGCTTCCTTTTTTTTCTGCGAATTAAACACGGATCAAGAAAAATAAGTCGAAGTAAAGTCATCGCTGAAGAACTGACCTTAGTGGGCTCCATGTACGGACATTTCCAGTTGTACAGATAATATTGTAGGTTACCATCACCGATACCAAACTTGAGCTTTTCCAGGAATTCTTTGTTCTCCATAAGGTCCAGAGCATTAAACACATCAAACTCGCGCTGGAAATAAAAAAATTACTCGTACATTAGTTTTCGAAATTTCCTGGCTCCGGGGGTTCGTAGGGTGGATAACGCTACCCATTAGATAAAGCGTCATAAGTTTTGTTCACTCTTATCCGATATATATCGATCTGTCCATCGGACAGCGTTATTTGCTCTTTAAACAACTGAGCCATGGACTACATCCCAACTGTTTTCTCCTAAAGAAAATAGAATTTCTCAGATGAAAAATAAGGTTCCAATTTCCCCCCTGTACATGAGTCCTATCAAAATGATGCATTTTACTTGATTAAATTCTCTGGCATTTTCGAGTTCTATATTCAACAATTACATCATGCGCTCGAAATCTCTATCGAGTGATAAATGATGAAGATGAAGGCCGAATGAACTACCAAGCTTACAAATCTCGAGCTCATTATCTAGCCGTTTCTGCATTAATCAATACTATAACAAAATTTTCGAACGTGATTCGTCATCACCAGCCCGATTTGTGCACTAATAGGACAGTGTACGCGTCATGCTTGTAATTGGACAGTGTACTAGGACAATGAAAGGGACAGTTAAAACGTCATGCCCGCGTAAGTGGACAGAACGCGTCATGTGCGCGTGCTGTTGTCTCGCATTTCCGAGTTAACGGTTGTTTGTTTGTTTTTTTTTATGAAAAAGTATAACCGATGTCAAGTTTCTTTCTCAGATCTTGTCATAGTTTTGATTAATTGGTAAGAGGACTTCGCGTTGTCCAATTCTGTCTGTAGTCTTACACGCGATTGACAAATCGCGGCCGTCCAATGTTGTTTGTCACTCGCATGATTACAGACCGAATTAGACTCCACTCGGTTCTATTATCATAATAAATCGACCAGAAGTCCAAACTCAACAAGACGGGTTCATGTTTTTATGTTATTTCGTTTCCCACTGCACCCTATTAAGCTTCTCTTTGTACTCACTATCTAGTAAGGAAGATAGATCGGAAGTAACGCAGCTAATTAGATTGCTGCACTTTTCAAAGGACGCTAGTAGATTTATACTAAATACTAGAAGGTCTCTTAGAGGCCAAGTAGCCCTTAAATGCTGATGCTCAGCTTCGATTTCTGTCGCATGAATTAAAAAAGAGTATCGCTACTTCCCCCGGATGGGACGCCAGACCAACATGGGTTATCCGTCAGTACTTTGTCGGTTGTCCCTAACAGTTCGCCGGTAAACATTTACACTCCTGCACGGAGAGAGACATTGTGAAAGCAAAGTGTCTTACGCAAGGGCATATCCCGGCTGACCCAGCTGGGACTCGAGCTCAGACTTCTCAGACCGGAGTCTAGCGCGCTGTGTGTCAGGCCACCGCGGTTTCCGTAACAATTTGGTGACCTGAAGCTACCACGTCACATTTACAATCACCAGTGCCCCCTTAAATTACCTGCTTGGCTAGAATCAACGCATCCTGCATCAGATCAACAAGGGGAACAGTTTGCGGCACATTGTAGAAAGAGTACGCAGCCTTGAGCTGTTTGTGCGCTGGATGATGCATCACGGTGGACGGCAAAGTGTAGAAGCTGATCATGTCAGTGACTTGTCCTTGTTCGTTCTGAGATGTCAAAATGAATATTTACAGTTTGGTGTTGACCACAATTGCCTCTGTTTAGTAAAACGCAGTGCGACGTAAACCCTTTAAATTCCAAAGTGATTAAGATAGAGTTTCCTCACAATATCAATAGAATTTCATACAGAAAAGTGATAAGAATAAAGAAACATGTCAATCAGGGGATCATTAATTGTTCCAAAACCAAATTCTCCTAACTAACGCTATAAGAATTGTGGGGCAAACAGTGGGAAGAATTACTTATGAGATCTTGGGAGTAAAACGATTAAGCACCTTAGAAAGCCGTAGGGATTTCAAGAAGAGCCGGTTACAAGCGACCTAACGCTGCCCGTAAGACCTCCAACTACCGTCCGTTTGGCCTGAGAGCGGCTTTCGAGTCAAGGATTCGCCTTACGACACAGCCGCCTACTACTCCATCAGCAGCCGCTTATGAAAAAAAGTTATTGAAACCTCTAGTTTCGTAAAACCACAACCAAAGCAATTTCAACAGCCAATCAGAGGAAAGGGAAATATCCCAAGGTGCCTTGTAAGTAAAAACAAGCAAATTGCTGAAAGCGCAGGGAAACTTATGCGTCCATCAAGACTCGGACAGTGGCCATTAACGTAGGTAATCACATCATCTCGAGTGCGTTTTGTGATAAATCAGCACGAGTACATTTTTTATAAGGCGTACAAAATTGCTCGAGCTCCGTAGGGCGAGAACAATTTGTTTTCAACAACTTGCTTCCCTGTCGCGAATAATCAAGCATTTTCTCAGATCAAAGAGCAGCACCTTGAGCTTCAGTTTCTCTTATTTTTAAGAAGTATTGCGCCATATTTACCTGTTTTTTGATGAACGCCGCACTAAACAAAATACGTACCTTGACAACAAACGAATCTACGATGCCTTCACGAGGAGTAAACCAGTGTCTGAATTCTTCCTGTGTAACAAAATGCATACATGAGTGACTAGTTCAAACGACTGAAAAGTCTTACGGGTAAGTGAATGAAAGGGGTTTTCAAATAAGTGAAATTTGCTTAATACACCTTAACACATTAAACAGGATTTTATCTAACCCTTCAACCCGTAAGAGTGACTTACATCTAATTTCTCCTTACCAAATCACCCCTGAATCACACATTAAGGTCATGAGAATAAAGAAAATAATCACCAACTCTTGATTGCTACACCAATTCTCCTTGTCAGCACCTTACGAAATGTTTAGAGAACAGTATGGAGAATATGCACACTGATGTTAGGGTGTAAAGGGTTAAGAACTGTAGAAGAAGGAGAATGGAGTAAAGTGACTGAAGTATCTTTTCAAAGTTTAATTAAAAAAGTAACTCGAGCCATCGAAATGTAAGCAGAGAATTCTGTGAAGTCGCCAGAGAATTATCTTGTCTGTTGAACACACTAAGCACAATAATGGTACCCTGAGGAGTTCTTCTCGAGCAGAGTGTAAGGAAATTCATGCATTAAGCATCAGTAAAGAGAGTTGCAATTGTAAACATTTACTTGAGCATAGTGTATTCCTTACCTCCGAGAACTCTGGGGCTAAGCTGAACTTCTTCAGGTACTGTGTAACAGAAAAATGATAAAGAATATAATTAACTTTATTTTGTGGTAAGCACAATAAATTTATGGTCATGTATTCATGGAAATTGAAATACGTAATTAGAGGAGTCATTTTTCAGAAAGAGAAATCAGCAGAAACACACATTGACAGGCAGAAAACAATCCTTCTGGAAGTTTGAATACTCTGTTTTATTGTATTTCAATAAATAATTTATTTCACGCATAATTAGTTGCGTGACAAACAAATTTTATCGGACAATTGCAAACCTTGATGGTGACATTGTCAAACAAAGAAAGTTGTTTTTAAAGTCTCAAGATGTAAAAAGTATTTTAACGACAAATGAACAATGGATATTGCTCATTACGCTCCTACATGTCATTAAATAAGAATTATAAACTTGTATCACTACTAAAATGCCTGCTGTGAAACGCCCACGTCACAGTTTTACGTTTGATTATAAGCATCCGATGACTGACAATATTGACAAACTACCTTGTGCAGAGAAATCTGTTTGTGGGTGAAGTAAAAATTTCTGTAATTACTACAGGAAATGACTGAGAAAAATCCACGAAAGGTCAGTTTTGGTTCAAGATTCAGGTTACTGTGTGTATGAACCACTGGATATTCTCTGTATCACTTCCTATCTATGTCACACAACTTGTACTTCATTTACTCCTCATCTATGTCACACAACTTGTACTTCATTTACTCCTCATCTATGTCACACAACTTGTACTTCGTATCCCTTCCTATCTGTGTCACACAACTAATAATTTGTATCCCTCCCCATCTATGTCACACAACTTAAACTCATACCTTCACTGTACTTTGATATGCAGAGCTCACATCCTGCTCTTTTAGAGTACAAATTTCCTTTAGTTTTGTCTCCTGTGAAGAAATTGGACAATAGAAACTGGAAACAAATTCCTCTCCTCACTTTTAGTATGTACGTGAATTAGAGAACGAATGAGAGTTGTAACAAGGGTTTGCATGTTGCTTTAAGCATCTCTGCAACAACAAAAAAAAAACTTTCACATTCTGTGCCAACTCATTCTACCCTCCTCCATCAGTGTTGACTTATTATTGTTCAGGCATCATGCAAATTGTGGTGGGCTTATGTGCCCATCAGTTCAAATCTTCAACATTCTCCCCAACCCCACCCCCAAGGTAACCCACAGGCATTTACCTGGTGGGTGGGGAATTTGAACCTTGCCTGGGTGTTGTGGAAAATTTGAACCTTGTCTGGGTGGGGTGGGAAGATTGGAACCTGAACCATCATGTGGAATATACACGTTTTATATTTTAATATGGAGGTGTATAAAGGAAATTAAAGCATCCAATTTCACGAGCACAGGGCTGAGAGGAAAATGTCTACTAAAAAGTTGACAATCAAATCCAGCACTTGGGTAAGGCATTTGATCACAATTTTGGTCCAGGGGAGGGGAGGGGGAATTTGAACAAGCCAATCTTTAAAAGTTCAAATGTGCATGGGGTCACATATTAGCATTATTTTTTCATACTTTTCCCTACAAATCAATTTTGACTTGAGCCACAGATTCTTCCAGAGATACACCAAAAACTTGGCCAATAGTGAGATTGTTAATCTCACCCTTGGTTCTGTACTCACTTTTGATCCACTATCAAAATGGGGAACACAATTGAAATGACTGAATTTATGTCAATTCAAAACAAATGCTTATGGCTTGAATTTCTTACTTCTGGTAGTCTGTAAAGTTTCACAGTCCTCTGCATGGTCATGTTACGGCTGAGATGGGAAAACTTGACCTCAATCAGTTTCTTAGGGTTGAGGGACCTATGCCAGTAGCTGAGAACAATAACAGCACCATTAAGTTTATCCATACATGTAAACACATGTTTGGACTAAGTACAACAGTAGTCTGCACTTAAGAAGCCTTGCTTTATTTCAAACTCAATAGTGCGGCTGGATGAATTTACAAATACAGTCAAACCTGCCATCACCAGCAAGGAAAGGTGGGGTGTAACCCTGATACAGGATGACTGTCACAAAAAAGGGGTATTATAAAAAAAAGACATTGAATGTCATTTTATGTCATAACTGACCACTAAATGTACAAAATCACCCTTAAAAGTACCACTAACCTTGGTTTTTGGAGATAAACATGGAATAAATGTGACTTGAGAGATTATTCTTAGTTTTATTTGAGTGGTTCCACTACAGGTGACTGTTCAATACAGGTGGAAGACAATACAAACAAACTGCTGGGACTCAGTAAAGGGTGACTGCAACTGCTTAATAGAGGTGACCCCTTAATTGAGGTAAAATCACAGTAATTAAGGGGAATAAACCCTGGACTTGTGACCTTTCAATATGATGCTGCTTTAACACAGGTTTGACTGAAGAATGCAATTCTGCAAAGAAAATAACTATAGTACTTACCGACAGCAAGCAACTGGTTTGGGAAGAACTACACCAGCAGTATAAACAGCTTGAAAAATCCCCTCCAAGTTCACCCTTCTTGTGATCTCTCTTATCAAAACTGGGGCAACTCGTTTGGATCGGAGCTTCTTATGAACACACAGGAAGTTAATTTCAACCATAGAGACAATCCTGGAGAGAGCAAAAACGAGGAGAGATGACCGAAAAGTATCCAAATTTCACAGGTCACACAGTAAGGCAAAACAGATCAGTATGGCCAATTTTATACGGCGAATCATGAGATTTCTCTCAACTAGAGTAGAATTGATCCAAAGGTTTAGGTGTTAATAGGGAATCAGATTATTTCTTTTCCAGACATTCATGAAAACTGTATGGCAACTCTTTATATGAGATGATCAAGCCAAGAATCTACTCTCAAGTTTATTTATTTCAAGGCACACAGTAGTTTTAGAGATTCTCAATCCTAGCAATATGCATGATGCTTGTAAAAACTAAGGACTTTGAATCTAGCCTTGCTTACCAATAAGCTACAAAATTGTTGGCATTTTAACTTTAAGACCACAATATTCTTTTCTAAGTTGCAGATTGTAGGTGGTAGGTCATCAGATTATATGAGATAAATATGAGATTAATATAAGATACAAGATTAAAATTATTATGAAGGACTCTGTGACATATACTTGTGAAAATTGGATAAAACCTATGTTTGCTTGAAAGAACTGATGCACATCATGTGAAACAGCATCAACCCAGAGTTAAATTTAAACAGGGTTTCCTTATCGCTTTGTTCAAAAGCCTTTTTGGGATAATTTTCTCTACTCTTTTTAGAACATCAAATCATCAAATCCTAGACAAAAAGAGTTGTACTGAATTTTTTGTTAAAGCCTTTAGGTCTGAAATCAGATTTCATACTAACCCTGGGTTATCTTATCCCAGCTTTGAACCCCACCCAGATTTACATGTGTACCATTTAGAGCAGTCAAGAAGTTTGTTCAGATGTTTCCAAAACTGACTTGCCTTAGCTTGAAAATAAGAGTGCTTTGCCCAGATTACATAAAGATTAACAAAAGGGCATGTGAAGATATGGAATTTCTCTTTGAGTTTTTGACTTGATATCTCACAAGTGAGCCCCGTAAAGGATTGAGACATCAAGTTGAACATGAAAAGGGAAATTCTTTATCTAGAACCAATCAAGTATCATTTTCAATTGTTTATTATATAAACACTATAGGGCCTTACTGACAAGAAAAGTAAACTTTGTAAATAAAAGAAATGAAAGTTTTTTAATATTACTTTTGGTTTTCCTTTTCATGTTCTGGTTTTTTTCCACTTCTAGAAAATTGTTCATGTTGCTGTCTGTGAGCAATATAAATCTTTCAGTGCAATTAGCAGCCATAATCTGAGAAAATTTTCACAAAAGGATGCATTAAGAATGGTGAACACTTTGTCAATTATTCATCCACCTGACAGAGTGGTGCAAAAGGCAAGTAATGTGTCAGAAGCTGATGGGTGATATCAAACACGTAAATAGTTAACATAATTTTATACATGTACAGTTACAGCTTTACTCAGGGCTGGAAATCCTTATAAAAGCACCACAGTTTTTATAATAAAAGGTTATAATAGCTTCAAAATTAACTTACTGTTCATAAACCCTAATTTGTGCAGGTATGGCACTAATAAAACCCACAAGCTTATTGTTGCCTGCTACACGCACACCACAGTGCCATGGCATTTTCCAACCAGGAGGTTTAAGGGCCCTGAAATACAAACATAACTCAACATGAATGAATGTAACCTTGGAAAAAAAGAAATTATTATTCTACTGGATTTTTCAGCTTTAGATATTCAGCATAAATTACTAGTACTTAGCAATGGTAGAAAGTCTTACTTCTCATCTTGTAAAATTTTAATTATGGGAAATTATACAAACCACAAAAGGAAATCTGGAGAATAGTCAAATCTGAACATGTTGTCATCATCTTCCACATAGTTTTCATTCAGTAAGGTATAAAGCTCTTTGAGCTGCAACAAAAAAAGGAGACACATATCAGGAGAAATGTAAAATACAGGAATTCTTTTTCTATAAAAAATTGTCAGTTGTCAAACAAATGACACACTTAACTCTTAACAGCCATACACAAGTATGCATATTCTCTATACTGTTCCCTATTCATTTCCTAAGGTGCTGACAAGGAGAATTTGTTTAACAATCAAGAGCTTCTTAAGTTGGTGATCATTTCCTTCAATCTCATGACCTTAATGTGTGATTCAGTAGTGATATTGTAAGAAGAAATTAGATGTTACTCACTCTTTGGGGTCAAAAGGTTTAAGACTAAAATAAATTGTAGGCTTGCGTTATTATTAGTTCTCTTTCATTTAATGTTTCCATGCCTGTGAGAATGGTTTAAATGAGTCATGCAACTGAATGTGCTCGAGCTAAATTTGAAGAATATCCAGTGACAATTTCTCCAAGCAAAACCTTCTTATTTATAGACCTTGAGTCACATGCAGTGAAAAGGCTCCCTTGAAAGTTTTTTTTTCAACTAAGGAGCGCATTTTTCTAATGTTACAGAGGAATACACAACTTCGTTTGTTTAAAAAATTGCACCAAAAGGAAAGTTTTGAGATAAACATTCTGTCCTTCTTGCTACAAATAATATTTGAAGGGTAATAAACCTGGTGCTTCTGTTTGGTGCAATAGTATGCTCTTCCATTCACCCTTTCAATTATCTGCTCTTTGAAGCTCACAGTTTCCACTGAGCTTCACTCTTAGAAAACTGTTTCCTCCTTGGAAGAGGTTATGTGTGAAAAAAGTTTGACTGTAAATATATCAAAATCATATACCAGAGCATGTTTTTGTATTGCATACCACTTTCGCATCACTGATATCCAAGGTATCCCAAACAAAACCCTGAGGGAGGGTATAAGGTTCTTGTCTCAGTTGTTCAACAGCCTTGTCCTCTTCAATACATCCACATTCAATGATATCTTCATCTAAAATCAAAGAAGAAGTACTAATATGATTATTTGTTTAACCCTTGACACCTCAGGATGTATATTATCCATACAGTTCTCTTCACATTTCCTAAGGTGCTGATAAGGAGAATTTCTTTAACCCTTTACATCCTAAAATCAGTATGCATATTCTCTATACTGTTCTTGGTGCATTTATTAATGTGCTGAAAAGAAGAATTTGTCTAATAATCAAGAGTTTCTTTGGTTGGTGATTATTTCTTATATTCTCTTGACATTAATGCATGATTCAGTGGTGATATTGTAAGGAGAAATTAGATGCTAGTCACTCTTTGGGGTTTAAGGGTTAAAAATCAAGAGCTTCTTCAGTTGGTGATTGTTTCCTTTATTCTTGTGACCTTACTTTATGATTTGGGGGTGATATTGTATAGAGAAATTAGATGCTAGTCACTCTTAGAGGAAAAAAGGTGAAAAACAAACAACTTGGATTTACAGTAATTCAAGTTGTATTGATTTTTTAAGTTTCCAGTACATTACTAAAACAATAATATTAAAGAAACAAAACTGTGATTGCAAAAAAAGGGATAACTTGACAAGAACTGAACAAAACCTGTAATCTAGCAACTTATAATAAGTCTTATCCAAATATAACTGTTTGCAATTCACAGTTAGAATTTTAACCCTTTAACTCCCAGAGGTGATTGACATAAAACTTCTCCCTACAATATCCATACATTCTTCAGCAATCAGGTAATGAGAATATTCAAATTTATCAGCTAGAAGCTGCTAACTTGATCTAGCACCAAGTTCTCATAACTAATTTACAAGGAAATGTGTAGAAGCTACAGGGGAGAATTAACAATTAGATCTTGGGAGTTAAAGGGTTAATAAAGCAAGATTGATATGTCTTTGCTGAGACCTAGAAGAACAACATGGTTAAACAGGAAAAATCATACTCTAAAATATACTCTCAATCCTTTTAACACACCAACCTTTGAACTCATCCAACTATAAATTTTTTCTTAATATGTGCATTATCATATGATAAAAAATAAGTTATTTTTGTAAGACTTGATGCCTACCACACTCTTTCTAAAATCTAAAATCACACTTCTTTCAGCAACAATTAAACATAACATACATAAAATGACGAAATCATTTCTCTTCTTGTTTGTTTTATTTTGCCCCTTGCAAATACTTTTACCTATTTTAAGATAATAATATTAGAATGATGTTTATTTCTTGTGGTAGTAACCTATATTAGAACAAGAGACTGATTATGAAAAAACATTGAAACACCTGAGGTGATCTATTATCAGCAGCTGTATCAAGGGTCGACACTTCGCGTAAAACAATCAGAGAAGTGGGTATGTGCGTAAAAAACCATGCACACTTCAGATAAATAGCGCTAGCATACGTACAAATGTACTTTCGAAAGAAATCATACCACACGATTTCTTGATCAAAAGTCAGAAAGTTTTTTTTTCTTAAAAGCGCCTTAAAGACAGAGTCTTATTAATAAAAGAACAAATCACATGGAATTATTAGTCAAAATTCAGCTGCAGACAAGTCGGATCAAATGGAACCTGTTGTTGCATTACAAAAACCCACCTAGTTTAGGTACCGGCTGAGTGTCCCAGAACTGATACTTCTTCTTCATAGCTTCTTCTGTTGTTTTGGGCGCTTTCGCTTCCACAGCCCGCAAACGTTCGAAGCTCTTTTGTAGCTCGCGTAGATTTTGCAGGTTAACTGCCGGACTTGGCAGAGACTCAACCACAGTTTCACTTCCTTCATTGCTTTTTCCCTTCCTCTTTTTCTTCTTCTTCTTAGAGCTACCCGATACCAATTGATTACCTCCTTTTGGAGGTTCCTCTTCGATAACTCCATTTACTTCGCGATCTGTGAATTCTTTGCCGCCGCCTTCGTCCCGCAGAGACTTGATTTGATCTGGCGACTCATTTGATCCGTTGTCGTCCGCCATCTTGAAGAGGAATGGTGTACATGTGTCTGACCCAGTCTCTACTCGAGGGTTACCTTCCCATCATGCTCAGTCATGCTCAAGTATTATTGTCCATGATTGACACAGCTCAATGTCACATGACGTCTACAAGATAACTTCATAACTTTTATCAGTGTTGAATTGATTGTTTTGCAGATATCCTTCCACGTGCTTTAAGATGAAATTAACTCTCTCGCTGATGTTCATGGTTGTCTTCCATGCAGTAGGCAGCTTAGGGCCTCTACATGCGTCTTGCAAAATACATTGGTAAGGGAATGCGATTACGTAAGATACCTGCGTTCATGAATATCAGATCACGCATAGCTCATTCGAAACTGGTTGAATAATACAAAAATGTTAATCTTAAAAGTAGTTTTCATCTCTCCATTTTAATTAATAAATATGTATATCTTCAAACTTCCGAGTGATCTACCCCAAATCTTTTAACCCCAAATAAACATATAATATCTGCACGATTCGTAGGTCTTCCAGTGCAGTCAGGAACTAAAAAATTTAGAGCAGAATTAGACAGCAGAAAACATACATTTCTCATTCTACATTAAAAATAAAAAGTTGAAGTATGGTACCTCCTACCATTGTTACATTCAAAGGAGTCACCAAACTTTTCCGAAGTTGTCTTCCAAAGTGCCAAAGTTACATGTCTGCGAAGGCTGTCATTTCCCATATTGCTTGCTATTGGAAAGATAAGCTGCCAGGTTACTACCCTTCAAGTCACATGGCTTTCCTTTAATCAAATCAAGGGCAAGTTAGTAAATTGAAAAAAGAGAGGAGGATAACCAAATCAGTGGCTGTTTGTAATCTGTGCATTTTGGTTTTAACCATGGGAGCTCTATTGTGTAATAAAGAAAGATGTGTTTTTGTCTTGTCATGAGTGTGGGAAAAGAAAAAATTCTGAGTCCCTATGAGGAATTGAACCTCAGACCTTTGGATTCCATGCTCTGATGCTCTACCACTGAGCCTCAAAGACTCCATGGTGAGCAAGGTCTATTACGAAGTTCATATGACATGCGTCCTGCATATTGCTTATTGCGTCCTGCATATTGATCAGCAATGTCAGCAATGTAATGTTTGTAGATAGAAATTAGAGAGATGGTAAGTTTTCAGCTTGGTAAAGAATTATAGAAAAATGTTTTTCTGTCTTGTCACATGTGTGGGACAAAGAAAAATGAAATATTACACTTGTGCAAGCAGGTTATACTTGTTATAGCTTATACTCATTATACTTGTAAGAGCAGGTTATATTTTTTTCAAAATAGCCAGGTCTGTCTTGCAGATGTATTCTTACCATATTTGCCAGCAGGTTCAAGGTATTACTGGTAAAAAAAAAAAACTGTTTTTGTGTCAGCTTTGAAATAAGTTACTTGATACATATCTTTCAGGTCTTGGGCAGTAAAATGCAGTATGGTTAATGATGCCATTGTTAACCAGATTCAGAAGTGGCATTCAAATGAAACCTGCCCAGGTGGAAAAGGGGAAAAGTGTCTATATACGGTATGTTTACTCAGAAGCCCAACCATTGTTTCATAAAACTTCCTCCCATAGATCAAAATAAATGTCGGGGTCGTTAGAGAATATTGAGATTTTCAAATTTATCTGCCTTGTTACTGTGTAGGGTCTTTGTGACGTAGCCAACTCAGTAAATTTTCTCTGGCCACAACAGTTGTTTTCTTAAATCAAGATGGGAATATTTTCAGTTGAAGGTAAAGCCTCAACTATTTCTACTATATGCCATGTTCCACTTCTATTTATATTTTTGGTTTTTGATCATTACTTCTTTAGCTAGAAAGTCAGACTGATACTGAAATCAAAGCAATCCATGAGACGCCCAAGAAACACTACAAAGATGACCTCACATTTACTTTTACTGCAAATGGAACTGAACTGTGTAGTGTAGAGGTATGAGATTCTCCAGGCTAATAAAACAAAATGCAAGTATATTTAGAAGACACCCAATCACCTCTCTGGCTATAAAGATAGTTTCCTTAATTCATATTTCCCTCTTACCTGCAAAAAGTCAAGGGGGCCATGGCCCAAAACAAATTTATTGTTAAAACCTCACCCCTGATAAAAATGTCGTTCCCTCATTTAGGAAACTAATGGAAATATAGGAAAGAAAGATGCTGGCTTGAGTATAACATGCAGAGAGAATCTTCCATCTTTGCTTCTCTTTGGCATTTAGTGGGTCAATATTGATGGGTTGATGGAAACATTTTTGATGCTTTGATTGTGGTTGACCACAGTTCTTAGATGTGCACCAATCATTTTTCGACATCTTTACAGGTTCATGATATAAATTAAATCACTTAGTAAACATTCAGTAAGGTTACCATTCTTAAACAGCAACATTTCTGAAAGGGAGTGATGTGAAATAAATTCTCTGGTAGTGATGTGGCTTCTTGTGCACAACTTTCTTACTCTTGTGAGGTGATCTGATGGCAGGTTTCTGAACTTTAGGCTAAGTAAGACATTGAAGTACACTGTAGTCATAATTGGTGTTAATAGATGAAATATAAAACCATAGACCTGCTAAGCCTTGTCTCATGTAATGTGTATTCACCATCTACAGACACGGGATATATAAAATGAATGTTCCAATACTTGTGCCCCAATCAATTTGGAGCTTCAACATCCCCATCCCCATTAGGCAACCCCTTGGCATTTGACGGTTGTCCCTGCACAGCAGAGGTGGGAAAGTGGAATGGAATTATCAAGTTGGGAATTTGAACAAAACAGTCTTCATAAGTTAAAATGCCTAGGGGGAGGGGGGGTGTGGATGTTGAAGCTTCAAATTGATCAACACATGAGATTTTTACTTTGCACATCTATTTTACGCCTTCTTTCAGGGCTATTCCACCTCTGAAACTTGGTATGCTGTGTTGGACTATGGTACAAACTACTGTAACCTTCACAACTTGATCACCGGTATGAGACTGTCAAACTGAGTAGTATACACAGAGTAATTTCCTGTTGAGTGTCATTAGTAATCCAGTATTGCTTTGGTTTGTTACATAGTATTATCTCATTTGATACTATTTGTGTGAAAATTTCCCCTGGTAATAATGTACATGAAAAAATTATGCCTTTCTGATTGGCTGAAAAGGAGTGCATTCTCATGTAACGCAAGTGCAAAGTTGTAATACAAGTGCAAAGTACAAATAGTGCACACATGCTTTCAAAATTTCATCATCTCGACTTTCTGTGATGTTTTTTCATGTACCTTAGTACCGTAATTTCCGGTCGATTACCCGCGGGTAATCTGTTGATTTTGCATTAAATCCGCGCCACTGCGGGTAATAGGGAGGTGCGGGTTATGTGACAATTTTAAATTCTTCTGGAAGTTGAATTGAAAAAATTTCTCACCTACCTGCGTTTCCACCTCTCAAATGAATTTTATTGTATCAAAAGTGCCACAAAGCGGCACGAAAACATGATGCCAACTCGAGTTTATTTCACGCATAATTAGTTGCGTGACAAACAAATTTTTTATCGGCACGCGTGAAAACAAAACCTTGATGGTGACAAAAATAATCCAAGGATATCCGGCGCATCAGTAACAAATTTCCAGTTTTCACTAGCTTGAGCTAAAGATAATTTTCCCGTTTTAAGGGACTTGTTAGGCCCAGTAGAACAGGAGATATCGATTTTTTTTTGAGAAATTGCCGACAGTAATTTTAAATCCCAAATGCATCACCAGAATGTTGAAAATAATAGGTGCGAAACTTAACTAATTTCGCGCTGAAAAAGTATTTTAACGACAAATGAACAATGGATATTGCTCATTACGCTCCTACATGCTATAAAAAGGTAACTGACTGAATAAGAATTATAAACCTCGATCATTCGCGATAAGTGTATCTACGAGTCACCAATTAAGTTAAAATGCCTGCTGTGAAACGCCCACGTCACAGTTTTACGTTTGATTATAAGCTTAGAGTAATAACTCTTGCCGATGAAATCGGTAATAGAGCAGCAGCAATAATCAATCAATAAAGTATAAGCTAATATTGACACAGAATTGTGCACATGTCTGAATCGAAAGACTGAAATGTATCGCCTTAATGTCACGTTTTCGCCACCGAAAAAGTTGAATAACAACGTGCGGGTTATCCACCGGTGCGGGTAATCCGTTGACTTTTTTTTTCGCCGTATGCAATAATCGGCCGGTGCGGGTAATCGGCCGTGCGGGTAATCGACCGGAAATTACGGTAACAAGTGCTCATGCAATATTGTTGTCTTTGAAAAGTTCACTTGTGCTTATTAACCATTTAACTCTTGAGATCTAATTGGTGATTCCCCTTACTGTCTGCCATTCAGTTCTTGTGATGTTAGTTTGGAGAATTTGGTATTGGATCAACTTTTAATCCCCTAACTGATATTTTATTCTCATCACTTTTCTGCTTGATGTGGTATTAATATTGTAAGGAGAAATTCTGTCTTGGTCACTCACGGGAGTTGATGGGTTAACACCAAATTGCACCCAAAATCATGTTATTACCTTTACTTATTTCAAGGTTTTGTCCTTTTAACATACAAACAATTTAGCTTTTTTACTGTGTAAGGTAATTAATCTGCCTGTTACCTGTAACAAAGTTAGTATTTCATCGGTAACCAACCCTACATTTTGGCGAAGAAAAGATGATCTAAATTGTTCTTAATCTATATCCTGCTGCTATTTCTTCTTTCTACTGTTCATTTTGTCTTCCCCTAGGTTATTACAATACTAATTGATCTAATCAGTATACTTTATTATCTTTATGGTTATATCACATTATTTTATATAATGTTTATTGAATTGGCCAAATTATGCCTTGCTTTTCACTATTTTTATAGGAGCTGGACTTGACAAAATGCCAAAATACTCAGAAGAAACCACTGACTCCATTTGCACCCAGTACAGCTCTGCTGATTGTGAGAAATACTGAGGAAGTAAATGTTTCCTGAAAGAGCCATTTAGAAGGATTTTTTTAAACCAACTTTTAGCACTGATTAAGTTCCTACTGGAACAATTAATGTATGACATCAATAGAAAATCCCTTAATTTCATGAAATTGAAATACTATTGAAGAAGTTGCTGTTGGCTTTCAGTTTTACATGGTTGATTGTTAAGATTCCCCACTCTTGGAAACTTCTACCTTTGCTCTTAACACGATCAAAACAAGGATAAAATTTTCTCTGTCAATTTTCAAACAGTAGAAATCAGAGATTATTTGTGGCTCAGAGCCACAAGAAGGTCAGAATGAAGCACTCAACTAAATCTGTGAACCTCTAAATCAAGGAAAAAGCATAAATTTTATTACAGCAGTTTCACATAGCTCTGAGGTAGAGGTATTCGTAGTGTTTAATACCACATATGGTACTGTTGCAGTTACTGTAGAAGTTTTTCCAAGCAAAGTTAATATCCTTAAATAGCTCAATAAATGATAATTTTTGTCTAAAAAAAATTATAAAATAATGACATGCCAGAATAATAAACATAGAAATTGATCTATAATATGCTTTTCCTAGATGTATTTTGTTGATTTATAACAAAATAAAGCATATGAAACAGGCTGCCAGTAGATAGAGTTGATAAAGGTCTAGATAAAATGAATTGCTGCCTGTTTCTTAAGAGTTAAACAAACACAATAATAGCAATTTCAAAGAACCCAAGCAATGCAGAAGCTGTATGCTTTATACTGCGATAAAATACTACAGCTGTGAACAGGCATGTTCAGACATTCCCTGACTGTGTCTTTTAAGCCTGGCCAAACAAGCTAAGCTTGGTTGTCTTAAAAGAAGCAAAAAAAAAAAAATAAATAAAGAGAGGAAAACTGGTGGTCATAGGATTGATCACAATAATCTGCCTAGCATGCAAGCAGGTCCTCATTAATGAGCCTTCCCTATGAGCACTTTTTCACTTGCGGGAAATAATGGGACATTGAGCTGCATAAACTGGCAAGAGGTCTGTAAGGGGTCCAATACTGAAAGGTTAGTGCCAGAATCCCAACAAACTTCTCCCTGGCTTGTCTCAAATTTTCTTGAGGTGGCAAAAAAAAATACTTTGCAGTCATATATTTGAGTGCCTGTCTGTGGTTTTAAGATCTGCCTGATTGGGTAGTCAATAGCATTGCATGAATTCACTTCATGGGGCGAGCTCATGGCTGGGTCCACAAAAACTATAAAACTATTTCAAGAAAATACTTTGCACACCAAAAGAGTTTCGTAACAATTGGTATGGCATTCTTTATTATTCATCAGACAAGTATGACCTCTAACTTACATGTACTGTGCAATTTTGTTATTTCTCAGAATGAAAAAAGCTTATGTAACCACCTTCTTCAGCTCCTATTTACAATGGATGTCTTCAATATGAATTTTTTATTTATGTTCCATTAAGAAAAAAGTGTTCCTTTGCTACCAGCCATGTTTGATGATGACTGGAAAAAGTAATGTTTAAGTGTTAAATGAGTCCCTATTCATTATTTTTTATTCAACAACTATCAAAGTTGGGCTACTTTACATTCAAAGATTGATCTGTCTCTTCTAATGGTAGTTAAAATGGCACTCTTTACTATTAACAGCTTGCAAAACTCTGAAGAAATTTTGCTATTTCCTAGAATGAAAAGGAAGATACACATAGTCAAACAACTAACCACATGATGCTGAAAATAATGAGCAGGAAAAGTGAAAAATAGTTCCCTCTCATGGACAGTTGGTCAGTTGTCAACTGCCAAAATACTCAAAAGGCACACCACAATCAGCCCACAAATAATTTCCTTTGCAGCAGTTCTTAGGTCTCATCACACAATTTGGAGAAAAAAGGGTGTTATGTGACAAAACCTAATGGTTGTAAACTTCTGCAACAAAGTCAAAAGGGGACTGAAGATGATCATCGTTTACTCTGACCGGTGATTTCATCTTTTCTCAACACATTTTACACTCAGACATATATGACGAGATGCTCAGAGGTGGGGGGTGACAAAAGTCTTCATGGTGCAAGCCTGACTAACCACCTGCTTGACATATTTTAGTCTCATCAATTTTATGCCAGCATGCTTGCAAAGACCAGAATCAAGGACATTTCTCATGTGACAAGTCTGTTAATTCAAGGTAGTACAAACCTTGGATCCAGGCAGACATTTTCCAAATATCTCCAGGAGAAGTTTCTCTTTGGTTACAGCAGTTTTGAAATCATTTAGTGAAATCTTTCCATCTTTATCCTCATCCTGGTGAGCAAAATATTAGAAACAACAAATTTCTTATTTTCTTTAAACTGGGATTGGTTATTTGAAAGATCATCACAACTATCCAGGGCGTTGGCAAAATAAAGTTTTTAATAATCAAGGTTTGCTCTTTCTTGTTAACATTGATCTGTGTCACTCTCTTTCTGTTTGCAATATAAATCAGCAATTTGTTAAGTTAATCCAGGCATGTACCTTAAAAAGATTTTTTCTGGAAAATTACAAATAACTGTACACAGTCCAAGATCTATAAGGTTGAATCACTTCCTATGATGAGGAAACTTAAATACATGTATCAGACAAGCATATAACCCAGAACACACCATTTTCTTCAGTGATAAATCAACAAGGTCTTTTACTTGTTCATCTGCATCTTCTTCAGTTGATGACTGAGGATCAAGAAAAAACAAATCGTCTGCATTGGCTGCAAAATCCTCCTTTTTTTTCTGCAGAATTTTTAAAATTGAGTCAACTAGCAGAGACCTGTGAGCAACCCTTTCCATGAGTTGGCTGGGAGAATTGCTTCACCCCCCTGCAGCAAAATCTCACAAACTAAACTTTGGAATTCTGATTAAATTTAAAAGAATCCAATCTACAGTGTGTGTCATTTAGGTTCATGTATAGTGTTATCCCCCATTATGGACTACTAGGCCCTTCATATTGGGGGGGGGGGGCACTGTACAACCCTCAAATGGCAGAAACAAGCATTCCCTAGAGCTTCTGTTTTTGAAACCTTTCCTAATTCAAAAAGTTATAGATCAATTCCACATTTCAGACATTCAGAATATAAGATAAAGGAGAGTGAATATCATACTCTTTTCAACAATTTTAAACTGGGAAAAAAATTTGAACACCAACACAACTAATAACAAAAAAGCTAGATTGCACAATTAACTGTATGTGGTTGTGGTGCAGAT